TGAGAATTTAGATATAGGTTTCTGTGAGAACTCAAAATTTAAGAGTAGTAGATTGTATATTAATAATATTTTTCGAATGATATTGTTGAAGTTCAAATGCATTATTTTATTTCTATTTTATACCTATATTTCTCCTTCATTTTATAGTTCGTTATAAACAAAAAAAATTAAAAGAGTCTTTGTATTAATAGTATCGAGTTAGGCACATGACTTAGTAGTTAGTATATTTAATAAACAGAGAAGAAAAAAGATAAAACATATTATGAAAACATTATCTGAGTGTTCGAGATCAAACAAATAGCAAAAGCCACGTTCATATCGAACACAATACCATCCTATGCGAAGTCGGTTTAGAAAAAAATGCAATAAGTATTCATTGATGATATGAACAGGTGTAGGGCGAAAGGCCTTGCGGTCAAGTCAGAGTTGCAGCCAAGTGCAAGCTCTCATTACGGCATCAGCATCATATGAACAGTTATACATGCGGTCGCCCATGTAGGTCGAACTTGAACGTGAAATTAAAAACGTCTGTGAGAATTCCACTCTTAATTGATGTATTTTGTCTTATATAATTTATCTACACATTTCTCATAACGAACATCGCGTTTTGATAGCAAATGAAAATTATTATTTTTTAATTTGTGCTATAAATTATGAACATAATTCCGTGAGTAATTAACGCAGTAAAAATGTAATATAATATGAAATTAGGGTTTCAATTAATTACGTAATGTATTGTTATTTGACGTAATTGATATTACGGTACATACTATATATAATACAATATAGCAGGCGCTCTCATGGGCATTGTTGGAGCGACAGGTCGGGTCCCATCCATCATTCCTCGCTAGACCCCTCGCTAATCCATTTTTACTATCGATTCCTACACCCTTACTAGTTATTCCCTTCAATATTCTTATATATTTATAACACGAAAACTCAAAGGAACAACGCTATGCCTTTTAATATTAAATTATGCGACGCATATATTATATATTTTCATACATCTGCTAGAATATTAAAGAGGATAAAAGTCAAGCTGTTCAAACCTGTTATTATTTGATTAAAAGTGCTTCCGTAAACGTAGAGGTGTTCGTTTCGTATTTAAATATTACGAAACTATATCCACATGTATTATTTAATATTATTCCAGTCCCTATCTCATCAGAACCACACAAGTCAAGCTATGTAAACATTTCAAGGGTTTATTCAATAAGTGAGAATGAATGTTTGTTTGATTGCGATAAGCAATGTAATCGTACCATTATTCCGTATAAAAATCATATCTTATCCCAAAATCTGATTCTCAGACCCTCGTTATGGTTTTAAGATAGCAAGAATAGTATTTTTTTTATGTCAATATAAACTCGCGATTTTTATTTCATCTGTCTTATCTCAGACATAGTTGGGGTTTAAGAATGTATGTGAAATACTAAAAGTATTATAACTCTTCGATACTCGATTTTAATACTCGTGGCTAAAGTTGGAAGAAAAGGCATCAATAAAGTTTTTATATGTAACCGATAAAAACGGTAAAAAAATTCTAGTGACATTTATCCGGCTTAGTAAATAAGATCTTCGACGACTACTAAAATAGCAATTAGTGCTAAGCTTAGAATATCGATTAAATTTCAGTAGTATTTTGGTTCATATTCTCAAATCAATATTTCTTAGTGGAATATAAATGTCTTACGCCCCTATAGTACGTACATGTTTAAAGCATAAACTTATTTTTTTATCTTTTAAGTAATAGATTATGATATATTTTTTAAATTAAATAATAAAAAACATTAACTAAATTTATGCATTTCACGTCAGAGACCATTGAAAATATAGAACTTAATTGAATAATATTATGAATATTTTTATAAATAAAATTAAAAGACTAAGCAATATAAATAGTTGCATCATTTCAGATTTAAGTTGCGGTATCATATAATTAAAATACAGAAATGTCCCAGATACGGTAACAATATGCGATGGCTTATTTGATTTTCGAACAGTTACACAAACATGTATCTCTTTGTCCTTTCAATATTAAAATATTTTACACAAGTTTAAATATTTAAACCAGTAACTGAATATGTGATGCGGAAAGTGGCTTCTGGCGTTAGTGTTACGTGATGGCGCTGTCAATAAACTATACATTATAATATTGATCGGTAAAGTGAATTTATGTGTGCATTGTGCTGAATAACCAATGTACGCATGGTATGTATAGCAACACTTTCAAATCTATACTTTGATTTTAGATTCACTTTTACACCTTCATATAATTACTATGATTAGTAATGAAATATGTTTGTGCTGTAGAATATTACTTATAAATAGGAAGGTACATTGATAGATGTATGTACATTTCTTGTGGTATTCTTAGTTCTATTTTTAAAACAAAGCTCAAATCTTTACAAACACCATCTTGTTTACTTTTCAATCGATCCCACGAGCGTTCGAACGCCGACGTGCTAACCGAGGGTCGTGTGAACTTATAATGAGAACTGGTTACATTTTCTTTCCCTCTTTAACATGTTATTACAATTTTTATTGAAGTAAAAAAATCTTTTTTCGAACATAGACGTATCATTACGATGACATATAGATCGATTAAGCACTTATGATAATAAACACGGTTATAAAATAACTAGATAGTGTCAATTAGCGTTTGTCATCGCAAGGGCCGATAATGAAATATAATTTTACATTCAAAGAAGATATTATCGTTTGATATTATCAGAAATAACCAAATATAGCTTGTGTTAGTTATATATACTAACTAACTGCTTATTAGTATGGAGAAAAATATGAGGAAACTTGAATATTTTAGATATGAACGTCCGCGTATCTGCATGATAACACTAAAGTCTAAAGCGATCTTATTTTAAGATAGCATTTAATGAGAATCTACAATTTAATACGAAATCATCTATCTTTCAGACAATTTTTATTTACTTTTTGTATGCTTGTCGCTTAGAATCAGACTATGAAGAAAACTGATTAAAAGATGACAAAACCGTCCATATAAAACACCAACCATGCTCGGAAATTACTCTTATTATTTCTTTCATACGTCTATTTTATAAATTACAATTTTTATACTAAAACTGTTAAACTTGTTCAGGTGCTATTAACGAGGTGCGGATTATTGATCTAACAGCTAGACGAACCAAATGTTACCCGGCTACATAGCTACATCGTCTGCTTCACCCCATAACAAGTTGTTAATTCCTGTCTGCCTGTTCATTTTGTTACAAATTACGTTACCTTTTTCAATTTCATTCCTTATATTTTTTATTTCAATTGACGTTCGTTATAAAATAAATGATTTAAAGTGTCTATCATCGATCACAATCATATCAGGATTTAATACATATGTATATTATTCTGCATTTCCTAATGCTGCGAATGTATTAAGTTGCTTAGATTATTCATGAGATATCTAAACTAGACATTCTAGTTACACACGTAGTGATTTAAATAAAATAATTGATACTGCGCCATCAAGTAATTAACAATCCAAAGTGATTTGGCATAAACATCATAACTATGTAGGACTCTTTATCTTACAATTTCCACATAACATATTTCACCTCATCTCAACTAAAACCGGCTTCTGTGTTGAGGTGGAAAGGCTTATGCTAGACGTCATACATATAATTTGCACAAATATAAAAGTAAGCATATACTGAGTTCGGTTACGAAATTTTTATCTATTAAATATTATGAAAGTGTTAAATAATATATAAAATGTTATGAGGCGAACTACATAAATTGCTTTTCTGCAAATATTATCATCTATTGCCACCAGAAACAATTGAAACAAATTGCATTTATTGTATTTAATTATCGTTTATTTTACACTACAGTTTTGAATTTTTACAACATTTTATATAAACGAATTACTCTAAATATATAATCTTATAAAAATTTATTTAATATAAGAAATAATCCTTTGTATACAAAACAATGAATCTTTAAGTTAATTTTCGCATTTTAATTGCGATTCTGCAAACAGGAAAGATAAATTACATTTATGAACAGCCCTATTTAACATAAACTTATTATAAATAAGGATACAGTGTACAATTATGGATTTAAATCAACATTCATTACAAAATGCGCGTAAAATAAAAATTTCAATTGTACATATTTCAATTGTATTAATTTTTTACTCTGTACTAGAAAACGCTTAAAGAATGTTCACTTATCGAAAGATATGTAAAAAACGGAACGCGGTAACAAGTTTTATTAAATATTTAAAATATAATAATCAATACATAGAAAAATATAATATCAGCTTTTACGTATATACGACATTGAATCTAAAAAAATTAAATTCTTTATGTTTTTAAATAATTATGACCTTCAAAAACATCAAGTGAATATCTTGACGTTTTGTAAATAAAATTCTGGTTTAAAAAAACCAACGTCATTTTTTTCCCTTTACATGTATTTGTAACCTCAAGTAATAAGTAATCATTATATAGTTATTAGGGTATACTTTTTGTCATTATCTGATTATTATACATAGTAGCTCTATAGTGAGCTATTGAAAGTTTATTAAATAAAACTGAATTTTGTTTGAAAACAACATGTTGTTCAATGTCGTTAGAACTTGCAGCGCAAGTAACAAATCAGTTAGATTTCTTTGAAGTTAGATTTTCATGGAACCTAAACATTGTAAATGTCTTTTCACACGCAAACCTTAGCAGGACAACCTCTTGTTGATTAAATTGAATAAATGTTTTGATTATGTTTTCAATACTTTACATTGGAATTTAATTTATTTGTTCATGTTAAATATTATATATACGATGTAAATTCCATAGATATAGTAATCGAGTTACATATAAAATATTATAATATGATTTTATTTCTCAGTTTTAAAATATTTCACTGAATTTCTGGAAAGTTATATTTATTACATATTGAAAACTTTTTTAGGTTTAATGAAAATTTTATTGAATTGAAATTTACTATAAATGAATCGTATTCTATTTCAGATGGATGGCCCCAGTGAGTCTTGCGATTCACGCGCCGGGTACCGATATGGCCCCCACTGTGAATAGCATCAGATACCTGAGGGATTGTCTCGGGAACGAGCTCATCAAACAGTTCGTCACCTTCCACGTGTTCTTTTCACATAAAAACGTTCCCACTAGTGTAAGTACGAAACAATGGTGTAATTTGATTACAATCTTCACAAATTTCTTCGCTTTGACTGATAAACAATAAAATGAAAAAAACATGACATTCATTTAAATATAGCCCAGCTTATATTACAATTAAGTGTATTAATTTTAGATTTAAATAGTTTATTTTATTTTCTAGATACCAAACCCGGAAACGTTCCTCCAGATCCCGTACAATTGCTCAGGCAAGCCGCCATATAATGTGAATGCTAGCTCAACTTATATGAAAGCGAAGAATCTTTTGTATCCAGTGAACGTGGCTCGCAACATCGCCAGGGAGGCTGCTGTCACACATTATATATTGCCATCAGATATAGAGCTGTATCCTAGTCCTAATTTAGTACCTAGGTTCCTAAATATGATAGCTAGAAACGCTAAACCGCTAAGCACCTCCACTAAACCCAGAGTATTTCCGATAAGCATATTTGAAGTCGGTGAAAAGGTTCAAGTAAGTTAAGATTATAACGTATTCTACATTTAAAATGTATTTTTTTTATTTAAAAATAGTATAATTAAGTATACGAATAAATATTTAACGACTCTATTTTTAAATTATGAAAATATAAATGAATTATTATAAATAGTATTTTTATGTCTGAATCAAATTGCCATTATGTATAGAATTACTATTTTATTGCATTGTAAAGTACTTTTATTGCTTTTAATATATAAATTACTATAATATATAAATTACTGATTATAAATATAAATATTTTAAATACTTTAGAAATCGATTTAAGTATAATTTTTTTAAATAAAAAGTAATTATAACCATATTGGAAGATGAAATGTTTTCCAACAGTAATATACAAAAAATATCTTTGTTATAATTTATATATTTGTATATTACATATATTCTAAATAGTTAGAAATAAAATATATTCTCCGGACTTAATCATGAAATCTATTTTCTAGGTGCCATCGACAAAGACGGAGCTTCGGGCTATGTTAGCTAACAAGACGGCTATCCCGTTCCATAAATTCGTCTGTCCCAATTGTCACAACATACCCGAGGGTCAGAAATGGATGAACACACCAGAAACTAATCGTGAGTATATTTTAAGAAGACAGAATTAAAACTAGCGTCTATTAAAAATAATATAAACATCAATTCACTGTGGTTCGTTGGACTTATTAACATACTTGGAATTGATTTGATATAACATAGTCTAAAACTGTTATGTACAATATCCGTCAATATAGTTTTTTTTTTAAATCTAGGCCGGTTTCGTTTTTGCGTGTCTAATTACGATGCATTGCCAATTAATCTTGCTGTGTCAGTCGTGAGCTATTTATGCCGTAAAGAGCATGGCATAGTTGTATGGGGCATTCTAATTGCGTGAGGGTCACTGACCGCACCGCGGCCACGCTTCCACATTATGCCAATTTGCAAAATCATAAAATTTCTGTTGCTTCTGCTTCATTGGCTAACGTAATTTATCTTTGTGGCTATGAACAGTATTCAAATTAAAGTTTTCTGCTTTAAATGATGATGATGAGTATTTGTATTTTTGTATTAATATAAAGTATTTCATTTAGGTATGGACGTTTTTCATGTTGGCAAGCGACGTGGTAAATTCGTTCATTGGGAGCCTATTTTCATCGGAACCCACCAGGACCCTTATTATGATGAGCGGCTCAGCTGGGAAGGGAAGAAGGATAAGATGACACAAGTGAGTAACACTTAATAAACAATTATATATAAATAAATAGATTCACTATTAATATGAACAATCTATATATATCACAGTTTTTTTGTATTGCTTACAATAGAGTAAATCTTCATCGATTATATTTTTCTTTACAGGGATATATCCTCTGCGTCAAGGACTATGACTTCATGATATTGAATAACGCATTCCTCATCCACAAACCTGGTATCAAACACTATGTAAAGAATCCCAAGAGAGACGCCATCGCTGGCCGACAGTCGTTGCTTATCAAAAGTATTATCATGCCGCAATTAAAAGCTCTCTTTGGGGCGAGGAGCGGGTGTGCTCTGTGACCGAAAAAATATAAGATAACGCTGAGAGTGACGTAAAACAGTGTTAAATGCAGCATAAAAATGTTCTGCCAACATCCATGTTACAGGGTGCGTCTTTCCGCCTCAGTTTTATAGACATTTACAGATAGCGATGGTTATAGACTAGACATATCATTAAGTAATGTTTAAATTAAGCCAACGTTTGATAAGTCCTTCGATTCCGTGTCACTACGACTTGTGAAGTAACACAGTGCCTATATCGAAAGTGTATTTTATAATTGACTCTGAATTTTCATAACGAATGGTTAAACCGAATTTTATAGACTATACCTTCTTATCGAGGCCTATTATATAATTGTGTTAGAGGTCGTTTTTATTTAATGTAAATATTATATGTTTAAAATTCAAAGCTTAATTTAGTTTCAGTAAAGAAGTCACTTGACTGTTATATTTAAGTGGTTCTTTACATGACTAGCAGATTAAGCTTTTATATATAATAACGCTTCTATTATCTTAAATTCAATATTATATTCAAATTAAAATAGATTTAATTAAGATTACTTTTATTTTATAACATTTACAAGTCCATATAAATTATATGTAAACTATTCCTGAGATGCATTTTATTTTAAAGGTGGTTTATATAGGAAAACATTCTATAATGTAAGTTGTGTCGTGATAAGCAGTCGATGGAAGTCAACAACTGAATGTATACTGTAAGGTTTTGCCTATATGTAGACTGTAGGTTACTTTGATGTTTACGCAAAGTTTATATACAGCCGGCTTTTGAACTCTAGATATTTTAAGGGCCTTCGTGGTGATTATAGTCAGTGTTAAACTCACCACGTCCGACTTAGTTCTGTAAGTTTAGTCGTAGATTACTTGTACTATGCGGAATACTACTTATTAAATGCATTATAGATGTTTCTCTTCATTTATCTCGTCTTAGTTATATGGGGTTTTGGTTTTGGTACATGCATGTGGTGAGTTTTCACTCGGGCGTCTCAATTTGGTGCCTCTTAGTGTAAGTTCAATAACCTATGAACAGTCTCTCAATGTGATCATTTATTAAAATGTATTTATCGACATATACTAAATATAAGGAAAATTATGTTAAAAATTTCATAAAAATCTACAGGTATGTAATTGGAAATAAAGAATTTTAAAATTCAAACATTGTTTAATTATGCAACAATAAAACTGTATAGGTGTCATTTAATACATTAATCAACTGTTAATGAATTAATCCACTGTTAATAAATAATTCCACTGTTAATAAATTAAACCACAGTTAATAAATAAATCCACTGTTATAAAGCTCTACATACATATGCAAAATTATATTACCTAACCCGTTTCTAGATTGAACAAATTTTGAAGACAGACATTCAATGTGAGGGTGTTGGATCGAACATGACAACTTTTCAGAAACAATTTATATTAAGTCTTCTTCACTTATATTTTAAACCTTTGCAAGAAGTACTGTATTTTTTTATTGTATTGATATATGTAAAAACAAAATAAGTAAATAACAGAGACACAAATAAAATTAAAATGAAAAAATCATTCTGAGTTCTCTAACTTTTCAAAAGCTTTTATGTAAATAAACAATTGTTCCTGTCAAATAACAAATTTATAATAATGTGCTATATTTTTGTTTTATTTCTATCTTTAAAATTATTAGCAACGAAACTAATCAAGCACTTTGTTGCCTCCTTTTTTATTTTTATTGATAAAAGTTTCAATGTTTTCCCTGATAAGGTTACACTGCCGAACTTCATTGATGAAAGCCAAGAAAAAACAGGGATCAAAATTTACAATATTCTAATGGCATTTCCTTTCAGAAAGAATAAACCTGATAATGTTTATTATAGTTCCTCGCCACTGTAATTGCCGATTATGAAGATTCATTAATTATTATTATCGTTGTGGTTGAATTGCAATTATTTAAAAATCCCCCCTCCCACACATACACACACAAACATTTTGAAACTCACAATTAGTTTATTTATTTATTTTTTTGAAAAGTAAAAAAAACGATCAATAAAGTCGGTCCCTATATCGCCTTTTGGCAAACTCATAGAAAGTGGCTGCATAAGACAGTATATAAGAAAATTAACCAAAATCTTGTCTAAACTTACGGAGTGCAATAATAAAATTTAATTATTCCTTTTCTGCTCGAGTCTACATAGGGTGTAATGTAAAAAAACTATACCATGTTTAATAAATAACTTTATGCAATAAAAGTGATATTACTAAAGTTTCCTTAAAGAATAACTTATTGCTCTTGTTTCTATATCCTGGTCCAGGTCCCAGAGGAAGATGGCTGTCAGGAGCTCGACTGGAATCTCTAAAACGAGCGAACTCATCATAAGTCTCTATTCTACTTCTGCGCCTGGGAACTTCAGTTTGAACTTCAGTCTGTGTTTCATTTTTTTGGCTACCTTCATCGCTTTTTGGTTCTTCAACTGAAGCTTCATTTGGGCTCACCTCACTTTCGTTCACTTTTGAGGAATTTGATGGCACCTGTGACTCAGATTTACTTTCCGACGCTGTATCTTCACTGCTTTTATTGTCATCGCTTGTACTAGTCATAACTAAACCAGACCTTAAATAATAATGACGAATTTTCAGACCTTCAGTTTGCACATTATTATAAAAAATCCTTATTCCATTACCAGATGTTGTATTTCTAATAGATTGAAATATTCCATTACGATTTAGAAATAGTATTCTAAAATTCGGATGAAAATAGACAAATAGGAACAACAAATAATATATTGATGAATTTGTCATATTCCATAAGCGTATAACAAACTGGTTTGACATAAGGTTTGATGCCAATACTTTAGTATTTTTAACCATGAAGGTAAATTCCATAATTCGAGCATTGCATAAAACATGAACCGAAATTCCTTGTAACTTAAATCAGTCATTCCATTTTAATCGCGAACACAGTTAGGTGATTCAAAGCGAGTCAGTTTCACGAAAATAAAGCAAAACTTATAACGAACAAATCAACGGATACCAGAACCAAAATTACGCATACATTCCAGACACAGCAGGTCTTGAATACCAATAAGGTAGCGGCTTAGTTGAGATAAGGAAGTTGATCTGCAGTCTACGTGCGAAGCATTCATCCTGGATATACGGTTTTTCCCATTTAAACCTAATTTATAACCTAATTGATTCTATATGGTATTAATGAAGTCATTTACATTACATATCTGTTATTGCTTAATAAAATACATGATTCTGTTCACGAGCGTAAGCTCTAAAAGGGGACTTTTCACATAAGCGTATGTAAATGTCCTTAAAAAAAGTATTGAAATATACAAAGAGTATGTAGTGAGCTTTTTATTGTTAAGGTATTATATAAGGAAAATTTTTGATAAGTGAATTGTCATTTTTAGTCTGATTGTTTTATCACGATCTTTTTTATCATTAAAGTATAATAATTTTTGTTAATTATCTGTAAATAGCTATGAATTTACTTCGACTATCTAGAACAAGTAATAATTTAGAAATATTATACCTATGTTCATGACTTTTGTGGATAAGTTAAAAAGAATAAGAACTGCGGCGGCTACTTGGTTTTGTTATTTTCCTACGGGTCCTTAGACAGCGATCAAGATTCACTCATCTAATATTGATCATATTTTATTTTGGCAGAAATATGAGACAAAAGGAATTTATAATGATTTCTGTTTAAGTTAATTATAATATATTAAATAATATGACATAATTTATTTATTGTAACCTAATTCCGACAAGTTCATTGCATATGTTATTTTAATATGTTCAAATGATTTGCATTTAAAAATAACACTTCTTATTGGTCTTCTTAATTTATGAGTTGCAATAAAAAAATACATATTTATATAATTAATAACATTTTTCCAATTTGATGTCGTCTATAAAATATTTAAATTAATGGTTTAAAACATAGTTTTCGGATTTCAACAGACACTTTTTCGTCTGCTGTTAACAAGACTATTGCGAATGTAGTAAAAAATGGGTTATGGGGTTACTTTTTTAGGATACATTATTATGTATCCTAACAAATTAATAGTAGTAGTAAATCCGAAAATTATAATTTTATATAAAAATGTATATTCATAATATACTCGCGAGAATCTTAAATAGCATGCATTAAGATTTTAACTAAATACCTATTAAACCATCAAACATATATTACAGTCCTAACCAGTGGCGGTTGTACCTTAAGTGCACTCGTGCGCTGAACCACCAATTCAAAAGATTTAAAAATTACAAAATATTACTTCATCGTTATTTTTAAATTAACATTTTAATATTTATTTTTTAAACATACAAAAACGTATAAACAATTAAATTTCCTTATTATGGTCAAAAAGTTTGAGCGCTTTACTAAACTCATATCGTGCGCTTCGGTGAGTGCACGAGGACTGCTAATACATCTTGTATGAGATACGCATTAATACGCCTGGCGCGTGAGACAAAAGATAGTTCATAGAAATGTACCTAGTAATGAGTCGGTCCTCGAGCGCCGCACGAGCGGCCGAAGATTACCGAGAGCACCCGATGTATGACGAATTGAGCCGTTTTTGACATTTCGTTATGTTTTGTTGCATTTTAGTAAAGTGCACCACCAGTTCTATTACCCACCAGCCGCCACTGGTCCTAACATATATTATACAATACTTTATTACATTTCTAAAACAACAAATTATCTTTAATTAAACTCGTATATTCCGTGTAGGTTCCATGTGTCATACAAGAAGTATATAGGTCTTACAATAGTCACTTGATCGTAGTTGGTACATTAAAATAACTATTAATAAACAGTTTCCTACATTTGAAATTAACAAAAAAGGTTGCATATCTGATAACTTTTTTCTGAATGATAATTAATCTAATAAGTTTTATATCAATGTAATTATTTTAAAAATAGACCTTTTATGTACAAAACGATGAAAGTGTCTTGTCTTAGTTGTCATAGAATCGAATGTTTTTGAAATAAACAAAGTATCCTGAAATATTGTTCTGCACTGATATAAACATTATAAAGTATTTTTTATAAAAAAATAAACTTATGTACTCTATATTCACTATATATTTTAATTGTAATATGAAATATTTTATAAAATATTCAGAACGAAAATTTACGTGTCTGCTCATCTACAATCATCGTTCAAGGAGTTCATTAAGCACCTAATCTAAATAAATTCCACACAAGCAAATTTACGGTCAAAACTAGTTTTACGACATCATACGATAGTTATAAACGACCATGACTAATAATAATTTTAAAAGGCTTTCAATAAATACACGACCTATGTAATGTGTCGAAAAACGGTAGCGGAACTACATATTTCTGTATATTACATACATTTTTTTTAAAGATAATAAAAAATCAATATCGCGTATTACTCAATTTTATTTATCTCCGATAAACCAGGAATTTTTACAGTAATTATTATAGTTTACAGAAATCATTGAACTGAGTCTGAAACTGTAGCCAGAAAAATGTTTATTTTAAAATAACGAATTATTGTCATCCTCTTTAATATACATACAACCAATGTCGAATTGAAAACCTAAAAAAGCTTTGAGTAACAAAAGGTCCTCAAAATCTCGCAAAGCACACCTTAATTTTTTAAAGCAAATTTAAATTTTACGGAGAAAGTTTAAAGCTTCGCAAGATCCACGACTGTTACACAATATTTATTTTTTCGAAAAATTTATTCAATTTATATAAATAATTTTATACGAATAGGTTTTGATGAAAACTATTTGATATTCAATATAAAATTAATATTATAAGAAAGTAAAACAAAAATAGTATATTCTAGAAAGGCCAGACAATTTTAAAGTAATCCCATATTTTAAAGATAAACATACAATGCTTCTGCAATTATTACGAGAGCTCGCGACATCATATGTAGCTGTTACGAGATGTACATATATATCGAAATTTTAACAAAGATGTTTTATGTGTGTATGTAAATATTAAAAAAAGTAATATGAGAATTATTAACTTTACGAAACTCATATTAATTTTAATTTGAGACGTCTAATTATTAAAAAATTTGAGACGTCTAATTATTTTAAATTTTAGTTAATTTTGAGTCTCTTAAATATACTTTGTTGTTAGTTAACTATTTGTTGCTTTGTTGTCTATTTGTAGTGTTGAGTAACAAGAGTTTGAATAACGTTCTTGCTGCAATTTATGGAAAATTTTACAGCACCAGTAGGTAAAAGTGGGTTATGACTCAAAAATTTTGCAAAACATTTATTTTTAAGAACGTTTAGTTAACTGTTAGCTTCAACGTTTTTTAAACAAATTTCAGTATGAGAGAAGCGAAAGTTAAAATGCCTGTTAAAATATATGTAGCAAAGTTGTGAGCCAGCTTTCGAACAGAACCGCGGGTTATCGTTGTATATTCCTGACCGGGTCGAATATGATCAACATCCTTGTACAAGGCGGGGCTGGGTTTCGCAACGGTCTGTCCCCAAGGTCACCAGCTCATCTTGCAGCCACCGATCATTGGAAGTGCGAAACTCGTGCGAACGGGTTGTGTTCAAAATGAGGGGTCTTGTTATATTGGTGACTTTATGCGGTGTTGGTAAGTTGAAACATACACCATCATCCAAGCTGATCGATGTTCATAATATTACTCAATGAGCTTTCTTATTCTCGAGCCTTGCAAATTTCATATCCATTACCTTCCTATAAAAAAACATTTCATATCATATCAATGTAAATTAAAAATATTTTTAATATATCGTATACCTTTATAATATTGAATGTTTGAAAATGGTTACAAAGTATTTTTATCTCTAATAATATTTTTTTTATTGAGCAGTTAATTTAAACATTTATATGATTCGCTTCGTCTGCTTTGAACAATAAGGCTGAGAGTTCCCTCGGTTTTATTTACATAATCACTGTTAAAAATGAATCTATTTATTATAATTACTTTTTTTTTCTACACTTTTTGTAGGAAAAATTTTCCAACCCCGCGATATCTTATAAGTTAAATAGCTTTTGTTTGCTACGAGTATCTTATGAATATTTCTTCATAGAAATAAATGGACTAATTATTTATTTGCATATAAATATAATTTTCATATTATTGAAAAACGGCGTGGTGCATTATTTAGAACGACCTCCAAATTTAAGGACAACCGGACCAAATCATGTATCGTCTTGTTAGTAACTCATCTCATTAACATTCAAAGTGACCTATCCATCGGCCTAATATCCATAAACTATAATTTAAAATACTCATTAAGTAATATTTGTAAAACAATATTTAAATGACCTTATATATAACATAATTATGTAAATAATTCATCTTAAATCTGTATTTATAATCAAAAAATTTCTATAGTTTTCGGACGCGCTCAAATTTCTGGAGAACAGCAAAATGTGGAAGAGGAAATCAATCCGGTAGAAATCATTGATGATAGTCAATTCACCAAAGAAAGTGAAGCTACCACTGAAGCTGTTTACTCTGAAAGGAAAGCAAAATACCGATTTCTACCTGATCAATACAACGAGGAATCCTCGCCAGTAGGTGTCAGCAGAACGTGCAGGGAAAAGAACGAAAGGTACTCAATACCTGGAAGCTGCGACAGATATATTGAATGCCTGGTAAGTTTAATGCCACTAATAACTTCGTCTACTAAATCACTTGTAAGAGTTTCGACTAGGCTCTTATAGAATCATTGTATTTGTAAATAAAATGATTTCAAACAAATACAAAAATTTCAGAATAAAACATATTGTAATAGACACTTGTAAGATATTTCCAACCTACTCAAAAGTTTTATCGTCAATAAAAAAAATATGTCTACATGTATTATCTTCGAGTAACATTAGGTGTTATATATTTAGGAAATAATGTTGTGAAATAGCATTATTATAGAATTTGTTTTATTTTCAGAACGGAACAGCCGAAGAGAAGACATGCCCTGATGGATTACGTTACAATCCGAATGTCAATTTCAATGTGTACCCCTGCCAGTACCCTATAGATGTACCATGCTTGGAGAGATCGGCCGGATTACGTATGTCAATACATTACAATACATATCCTATTAATCATGATTAATGTACCTTCAGTCACATAAATATGCAAAGGTCAAATAATTAATATTTATAAAAAATACTATGTCATGAATAACCCGATGAGACAGACTTCTTATATGCCAATCTAGACTGATTACAACTCTGTAATTTACATATATAATATTTCATTAATAGTAAATAAATATTCAACTGACATATCCTTATTATGAGGTCAAATAGTGATGAGTAAACAAGTGTGAAAAGTAAAAGGTCGTGATGTCATGAATTATTCAACGACAATTTTAAATACTTATTTCGATATCAACATTTGTTACGTCACAATTTAAAAAAAATCACAATTTAAAAAAAAAATATTTTAAGGAAAGTTACCTTAGTTACACTATTCGTAACTCAAGAACGGCTGTAGGGATGTGATTAAAATTTGTTGGAAGATGTCTTAAAACCAGGATATTTAATTTTGTTCGATCGAAAAATAAAAAAAACTCATTAAATTCCAACATCTCGTTATTTATGGCCTCTATGGCGGAATAGAATTCGCCCAGTCAGCTATACCTACATATATTACTAATTCCGAAATTAGCTCGGACGAAGTCGCGGGCAAAAACTAGTATATAATAGATTTGTTTCAACAGATTATATACTTATATACAATCCATGTAATATTCTATGCTTACAGAACCAGCGCAGCCTACAGAGGACTGTCCTCATCAATTTGGTTACTTCAAGATTGGTGATGCCAAAAACTGCAGCGGTTTCAGGAACTGCGTGAACGGCGTTGCTTATGACTTCACCTGTCCCGAGGGGCTTGCCTTCAGCTCAGAAACCTACCGCTGCGAATGGCCTGATGAATCAAAAGATTGTGATGCTGAAGGTCAGTAACACGAACAACATTCTAATAAATTAAGAATCACAAAATTATACAAATATTAACGAAAACCCCACCTTTATTACATAGTATTTTGTTTAAGTCGACTGAAATTAATGAGAGTTATAAAAATTTATTCTTATCCAGGAATTTGTAGCGAAAACACAAAAAAAAACATCGACTTAAGAATTTCCTCCTTATTTGTAGTTAAAAAATATTGATTCATTATAATAAACCATCATACATATGTTTTAATAAGGGATTTTAGCTGTAGTTACAACGTAACAATTTTTATTTCAGTATCTATTTCTTTTACTCTACAATACTACACTTACTCACTCTACTTAGTATTAACATATAGGTACGTTTAATTTCCAATGAGCCGTAAGTAGATATATATTTCTGATATTTGATATGTAGTAATTATTACATAATGAATGTATTATTATCGTTTAAATAGCAATCCAATCATCTATGACGGTAGTATCCCACACCTCACTGGGCTTTATAATAATACATGACTTACGTAATGACATAAAATTGCTGTAAAATAAATATTCAAAATAAATATTTATTAAGTAAATATTTTTTTAATTTAATATAATCAAATAGGAAAAAAGAAAAATCAACATTTTATCTCTTTATTAATCATAAATTAATAAATAAATCGAATTACTCGATTCACAAAGGTCCTTTAGACCTCAGAAGTTAAGTCGATAATGATCAACATTATAACGTATAGGTTGTAATTTAATACATTAGTTATATTCAATATTAAGTACATATATTATTAATTAAATTTATATTAGACTTATACTGTTTAATTATACCAAATTATTATGAAATCTTATACTTTTATATTATGGCTCACTTAACGATGTATGGATATTATAACATATAGGTAGATGAACAAAAATATTTACAAATTCAATAGCTTAATTTCTTTGAAATTTAGTTTTCACTGTATCTAGATATAAATTATTAAGTTATGTTTTTTTCTAGCGTTCCTCGGCTTCCGTTGTCCTCCTGTGCCAGAATCTAGGGAACTTGGTGCTCCAGCCGGTTTCAGATTTTACAGGTAAATAAGACAAGAGCCTTCAATATAATACAAATATACATTACACCTAAATCACAATTAAATTGATAAAAAAAATATCTAATTAACTTTATAATTAAAAGACATTTTTACGATAAAACTTTTTTTGTAATCTAGTCACCAATTAACGGTAGCACGTTTTATTTTTTATGATTTTTTATAATATGATACAATCACAATTAATTATACATAGTTATAGAAACTATTATAAAATATATATAGTACGGAAGTTATTATAATAATAAGAGTTTTAAATAACCTTTTCATACAACAGAATATTTCGTAAGTTCTACCTGTTTCATAGAGGATGCTTATGTAATATATCACCAACGTTAAACAGACGAACCGAACAGGTTACCTAATGGTCGGTCGACAGGTCAAACATAAATGTCAAAGATAATCAGGAACCTTGAGATTCTATTTCTAATATAACACCTTATTATTAACTGAATGCTATTAATTTTTTGTGTTTTTGGGAAATTTTATTATTTAGAATTTTACATAATTGCTTTGCCTGTTTCACCGTTTTTATATAATATTAAAGTAGTGAGAAGATTGAATTTTAAATATATTCTGTTATTTTATATGTCATAACTCAATTAACTTTTAATGTCTGAAAGTTTTAAATATTAGTTTTTCTGAATTTTGTCACATCATAACAGTCGTATAATAAAATATACATAAAAAAGATTTATCGATAAAATACAGGTTTTTAAATTGATCAGAGTATTAAATGGCAATTATAATATATATGTATATAAATTGTTACAAATAAAAAAATAGTTTCCAAGGAACTAAACTAAATTAAACGTCTTAAATGAATTATGTATTTAAAATTAGACATCTCCTACAAAGTAAGAAAAGCAGAAACAAGACTTAATGATATCCGAGCATAGAATTATTTTAAACCTTGTCGTAAAAGACTTAAATTCAATTGCTTTGATTTTACGAGTATACATATACTTATATAAATAATTACATTAAAATACTTAAACTTGACTCATAGACAATTCTATTCTGAACAAAATGAAGAGTCAAGGAGTTAGCATTGTTAGTACAAAATTATTATAAGTCAAGAAACAGCGTAAAATAATTCTCAGTTTTTATTCTAGTAAAAGTAGTAAAAGTTAGTTGAAAACCGTCTGAAGCCAGAGATGTATTGATCTACTCCCAATTAAGATTCAAACATAGTACGTAGTATTTGGCAATACTTCGTTTCCGACTTATACAAAAACTGACTTACCCTTATATCGTAACGAAGTCTTTCAGTTTTGCAAGATAATGCTAATGTTAAAAAAATTTCAACATTTTCTTTTCCGATTAACAAAGCTAAACTTTATGACAGTATTTTATAGTTCAAGAGATTTTATTATAGAACTTGGATCTAATACTTTCAAAACACAAATAATATTAACTTTTTGATTTTAATTCCAGTCATCTAACGTTTAAGTTTACGTGTAAGAATTTATTTCATTTATTTAAATAGCTTTATGTATTTTCACTTTATTTTTTAACGTTTAATATTTTGTTTAGCTAATCGTTTTTTTTTTTCATTTTAAGCTTACCTCTTACAAGTTACCTTGTTTAAGAAAATGTAGATTTATGTTTTGAAATATGCTAATATTAAAATTGTTATTTTTCCTTAGATCTCCCAGCAACTGTCAAAATTACTTCCTCTGTATTAACGGCAAACCTCGTCGGTTGAGCTGTGGTGGTTATTCAGCCTTCGACGAGTCTTCGGAATCTTGCATATCTGCTGTAGATATACCAGAATGTCCTCTAGAGCTGAGAACTCGTGCTGCCCAAATCATTGAGGAAGAAAAGCAACGAAACACAGCCGAAGCCGCTTTCGCCAGACTGAGATACGCCCAAAGCGAAGATGTCACAGAATCTTCGACGGTATCATTTGATGCATAAATATAGGTTTAACATCTACCACAATTATGCGTAATGAATATTTTATCTCATTTACACATGTATAAAATATAAATAGTGTTTGTTTTTTATGACATATTGAAAAATATGTGTTTTTTAACGAATCCAAATAATAATCATGTAGTCAAATTATTGTTAATAGTGCCATTTATTAAATAAACTATTACTTCAACAACTGTCTATTATTTTCTAACTATTATATGATTGATAATGCCCTAAGTGATTTCCAGCCGCAAGAAATATAAGATAAGCTTTTTCTATTGACGATGATTTAAAATTAATTAGTTAGTTTTGTATTTATTGGTGTTTTGTTACTATATCGGCATCACTTGTTACCTTTCTTTACACTGGAAAGAACCACTTCAGTTTAGTTACATAAGATAATCGAAAGAACAAAATGTATTTCTTCGTGTCTTGTGCTTTGTTGGTTGTATTTTGTAAGTATAATTTAAAATATCATATAGTATATTAAGAGGATAGATACTAAGTTATTATCCATATCTATTATCAGGCAGTGTACAGGCTCAATCTGCGGGTGCGGACGCCATTTGCAAAGCTCGGAATGCATACCTGAATGTAGACGGTAATTGCGATTCCTACATCGAGTGCAGAGTAAGTAGCTATTCTCATCAAGAAGCAGTTCATTTTACGCCACTTCCGTCCAGATTTTGTAACTAATTTAATCTTTTAAGGACTATCACGCCATAAACAAAGAATGTCCAGATGGTCTTCACTACAACGCTGATGTTAAATGGCCAAATTACCCTTGCGGTTATCCTGCAGATGTGCCTTGCAATGGACGGTCAATCATGCGTACGTTACATTATTCTAACGATTATTGCACAATCACATATTTAGATTAGGTAATGTTGAGAAACTAAACGGATATTTTATTGACAGAGATAGCACAGTCTACACACGACTGCCCGCATCAATTTGGCTTCTACCCGTCTCCTAAGAACTCCCCTACTGATTGTGGCCACTACTTGATGTGTGCCGACGGTAAAGCCAACGAGATGTACTGCCCAACAGGCCTTGCATTCAATGCGGCATTATCCCGCTGCGACTGGCCAGAAAATGTGCCCACTTGTAAAGCTTCTGGTAAGTAAAATATATAGGTTTTTTCACCAATATACTTTACGTGCATAAAAATAGACACATAAATATTAAGTATGCAACTTTTCCAGAATTCCTTGGCTTCACGTGCCCCCCAGCAATGTATGATGAGGAAGGTTATCCCGTAGTCACCAACCACAAGTAAGATCTTTTTTAATTGCAATAGGTTTCTTTGCAAGAGAATCCTTATGGCAAATATTAATGTTTATATTTTCGTAGATATGAGCAGAACTGTTACGCATTCTTCATGTGTATCTCTGGAAACGCTCGCCTGTTATCCTGTGACCCCGGTTTCGCCTTCGATGCCATCAGCAGCCGCTGCGTCGATGAAGACCTGGTGGCCTGCGATAACAAAATGACTCCATATTCTCAAAACGTTAGAGTAGCATAACACGTTCCTCACCATAAATTTGTATGATATCATCATATATATTTTTCAAATAAATATATTTAATTTCAATACTATTTTGAGTTATTTCGTATATCGTAGACATACATATCTCTTTGGTGTTATGTAAACAATGAGAAAAAAAACAACTTTTGTATGCTTTTTTTGCAATCTAGATAATAAACATACCTAGAGCTGTTTATGAAATGTAACTTTTTATTTCTCAATAAAATTTTAATAAAAAAAATTTACAAAGAAAATTGAAGCACATTAGTTTTTATTTTAACAATAAAGTTTAAATTTAAATTCTTAATTGAAATAAAAATAATGACATTGTTATAAAAATGTCAATTGCATTTTACAATGCAATTAAAATATTTAAAAAAATTATATTAAATATTGAATTTGAATATTTTTTTAATTATACATACAACAATATCTTTTTGGTCTATTTTAGCTATTACTGCATTCACACATGTAATTTTTTTTAATTCAGCATGATTTTCCTTTTCTGAAGATAATTACCTCCACAATAAATTCCGCTCAAGTCTATACAGGAGAAAAAATTAAACAAGCAGCAACTATCGTTTTTATATGATTAGAATAAATAATAAAAAAATACTGAAATCAATGAAGTTCTTTGAAAATTTCGCGGGCCTAACGATAAACATTGTAAAAGTCTTACGCTCAAACATATTATACAGGGTGACTGGTGAATTACTATCAATATTTAAGGAGAATACTCGGTACATGATTCTCAGTCGAATTATGTAAAAAAATAGGTACTTAATTTTTGACCAAATTTCCGTATAAATAAATAAAGTGTGGACACGTTCCAAGTGTGGACGCGTGCGGCGGCGTGCTGATACAACACCACGCCGCCGCACGCGTGTGTGTGTGTGTGTGTATGTATATCTAATCTGTAGGGTGTTCACACGATGCGTAATTAATTACATAACTTTTGGTTAACTTTACTTAGAAGTTTATTAATATTTATGTTATATTAATTTTTATTTTGTCATATATGATCGTCAAATATCAAGTCCTCAAATATCGATAGTAATTCACCAGTCACCCTGTATAATTATTACAATAGAAAAAATATATACAATAAAAACATTTTAGGAAAAAATGTAATGTTGTTTAATTATTTTCTGCTTATAATTTTAATATTGAATTGAATATTTTTATAGAAGTAACTTATAAACACAAAATTTAACATGAACACTTCTTTTATTACCTTCGTCCAGTATTGTGTCATTAATTAATTATCTGCACTTTTATTAATTCAACATTATTTTATATTATTAGTATAACTTATAGTCGTATAAGTTATATTAGTGTGATAATAATAAACAAACTATAAACTAAGCATAATTATAACGTAATATAATATATAATTTGTTTGTTAGTTCACTGGACCGTATACTTGCGACTCTCTACTGTACCATAAATTCCAGTCAAATAAACCAGCCATCATGATTAGAATTCTATCTCAGACTACCCAGACTAAACTCTGACCACCAGAGAATACGTACTACTTACTACCTTCGAATAATTGTATAGAAACAATTGACTTGACTATCTGTGGACTTCTCTAATGAACCGTTGAATTGTGGCAAACCCACCAGTCCCAGAAAAGAACATTAAAAAGAGAAGCTTATATTTATTTAAAATTATTATAGAATAAATAATAATAAATAAATATAGAAATGATTACATATGTTCTTAAATTATGTTTCAATTTTTTTATGACAAGTCGAAAGATAATATATTTCTTGAATGAAATGTAAGTCCTACGTTGAGTAATTATTATGTATTACATGCAAGGCTGGGTTCATATACGTATATATGAAAGGATACTTATAATTACAGATCATGTAAATGAAGAAATGTCATACATAATGTATCCTTAAACACAATCTCAGTTTTTAATATGACAATTATGGGATAATGATTTCTAAGACTTTATCGGTTATTCAATTAAATAAAATGAATACTTTGGGCTTTGCTACGGATATTTTTTTCCTCGTTTTTCTTAATTTATTATTCTTAGTTACCCACTATTTCTATCAGGCCTAAAGGTTAAAAGGGCCGCCTCTCGTGCATGAGGGTTTGGGTTCGAAAATATAATTATAAGTTTCACCCGGCTTGGGCAAGCGTGGTGACCAATGCTCAAACCTTCTCCGTGTGAGAAGAGGCCTTTGCACAGCAGTCGGCTCTGATAGCCTGATGATGATTTCTATATAAAGCATTTAAGTTGCTATAAATTTTGGTGTAGAAAATTTTTCTTGAGTCTAATAATATGAGGAATTATGTATATCGTTAAAAGTATCAACAGCATTGATTATATAACTGTTTGTATATATTATAAGATAAATATATTTTTTATTTTAAAATATCATTCTCTGTAACGGAAATCAGAGGTTTTGATATTTCAAATGCAAAACGAGTTAATCTAAATCTATCTTATTCATAATTCACAAACACAGTGACAACGTCTCTTTATTAAATATATAAGAAATACTAGAAGACCCGGCGAACTTCGTTTCGCCCTATAATCAAGAAATATCTGTTACGTTTTTTTATTTATATTTTTGGAGTTTACCTATTAAAGCCATAAATCTCCGTGTTTTGAAGTGATTAGGAATGATTAATAGTTAATATGAGAGTTACACTGAGCTAGCAAAATAATAATTGTCAACGTTACTACTACACTTGATGCACAAACAATAACGATGGCCGACAACTGTGTAGGGAGTGAGAGAAGTCTAATTGTGTGAGAGAAACAGAAGACCGGCTTCGTTCTCATCCCTACTCCGTGCTGTTTACTGGGTCAGAAGTGACACCTGTAGATATCTGGCGGGGATAACTTATTAAATGACGATTGATCAGTTATCGACCGGAGATGAAAAATGATTAAATTACTAAAATAGCTATTAAAAAATAAGGATTGATCGTAGAAAGGTGAAAATTTAGGATTGTATGTATTTTTGTACGTTGTATCATAAAAAAATAGTAATTAAAAATTTTGTCTAAAAAATAAAAATAAAAAATTTAGGGGTGGACTACCCCTAACATTTAGGGGGATGAAAAATAGATGTTGGCCGATTCTCATAGCTACCGAATAAGCACAAAAAATTTCATCAAAATCGGTCAGGTTGTTTCGGAGGAGTATGGGCACGAAAACTGTGACACGAGAATTTTATATATTAGATTAGGTTTTCAGGTTTATCATTATTTTATCATTATCTTATCTTTATTTATTTATAAGTTTCATAAACTTATAATGAGATCTTAGACTTTTGCGAGTATTCATTTAAATGAAACCAATATTTTTCAGATATTCTACGTTTTATTTGTGACGAGATGTGTCTCGTTTGCCCGTGATCACGGTTGCTGAAAAGTATGTATTTTTTTCCTCGGGAGTACATACTAAATATACAAAAAATACATAACGAACATACATACAAACTACATAGTTTTTACAATAATAAAACACGCGTAGTACATCCGAAAAATGTTAGTTTCATTAATAAACTTATTTCATAAATATTTTTTGTTATTAACGAACGAACGAAATCGTTATTAGTAAAAAAATATTAATAATGTTTTCAATTATCAAATAACAAACTGTTACATATGATAGATAATTGAAATTATTAATTATTTTAATTATCTATCAAGAAAATAAAACATTGTTATATATCTTTAGCCGCAATACTAATTTGTTATTCTTGAAACTGTATACCTCATTTAAAATTAATTAGCCAGTTAAGTATATAACTGACATTAAATATAGTACTGCCATCATTCGACCTATTTCTATATCAACTACAAAACAGTATATAAATATTGTTGAATTAATACAGGAGAAATAAAAACAAGAACCATGTACGTCTTCGTGTATTTTGCCACTCTCTTCGTGGTCTCTTGTAAGTTTCAACTATCTACTGTCCAAATATATAAATGTCATGTATGTTTAAAGAAAATTACATACATATTGTGTTGTTACTTGTAAGTACTATATATACGTAAACTTAAAAAGGTTTTTCATTTGTAAATTTCAGGCAGTGCTATCTTTCCTGTGTTGGATTCGACTAACATTAAGGTCGACCCCGTCTGCAAACGGCGCAACCAGTACGTTAGCATTGACGGGAACTGTGACTCATACATCGAGTGCAGAGTAAGTATATTTTATAGCCGACGACAAAAATAAGGGTACAGTCTTTGACTATTATGTATATTCATATGATTGTATGTGAGTACGGTAAAAAAACTAAGAGTACGATGTAGCGACTTTTCGATCTGATGCTTCAAAAACAGTTTAAAAAGTATTCTTGTTTCATGTGAATATATTTAGATTATGTGTAGGGTGTAACATAATTAATATTGAAATGAATTAGGGGACATGTGTTAAAAATAAATCAGAATTCTTTATAATTACAGAGATATTAATTAAACGTTCATTAGCAAGCATTATTATTTGAAACAGCATACTCATGCCATAAAATTATATGGTTTCATTTTAAAATCCATAAGCAAAATAAAATCATATGCCCTTCAAATTTTTTGTAGGAAATTATAATTTATTAATAATTTTCTTCAGGATTATCACGCAATTGACAGAGAATGCCCAGACGGTCTTCACTACAACGTTGATGCAAAATGGCCTCAATACCCTTGCGGATACCCCTCTGATGTTCCTTGCAGAGGAAGGGCTATTCAAAGTAAGAATATTTATTTACTGTTTCAACCACTTTAAATTATAATAACCTACCTTTATCATTTACCGTCACAAATCTTTATATTACGTATCGTATACCAATTCAGTGCCTTATATGATAATTAATTTTTCAGAGGCTCCTGAGCCAACAGCTGATTGTCCTCGCCAGTTCGGCTTCTTCCCATCTCCTCTGGCTCCACCAAATGATTGCGGCCATTACCGTATGTGTGTAGGCGGTCGTGCCTTCGAGATGTTCTGTCCAACTGGACTAGCATTCAGCCCCGACACTGGTCGTTGTGACTGGCCTGAGAACGTTCCATCTTGCAAAACATCCTGTAAGTTTCATTTCAATTTAGAAAAGCATTTTTACATATTATTACTAATGTCTTTATTATTTTATTCCAGCTTTCCTCGGATACGAATGCCCGCCGGCCACATACGATGAAGAAGGCTTTCCAATCATCACTAACCACAAGTATGTTGATGATTATGTTTAATTATTATGTGTATATATTTCTTCTAATAATAATAATATTACAGATACGGAAACAACTGCTACGCATTCTACATGTGTGAGGCTGGGAAGGCTCGTTTACTGTCTTGTGATCCCGGGTTCGCCTTTGATGATGTCACTGGTCACTGCGTGGATGAAGACCTAGTTCCTTGTCATCTTAAAGTAGAAGAAGCAATTCCTCTATAATAAAACTCCTGCCTGACATTGTTTATATTTGTAAAGATATTTATATTCCATAAGCACGAATGTTACATTTTTAATTAATAAATGGTATTACAGCAGATATAGAAATCATTTTCTTCTTATTTCCTTTTTTAATATCTATGTATAAATTCAAAAATTGGACACTGATCCAAAAATATTTTATAAAACTTTGATAACTTTTAAGTATAGTACATACTTGTCAGTACAAAGTTATTATACTTAATTTACAAAAAAAAACCCTTAAATTCACAATGTTAACCAAAAAAGGCTAAAGAATGATTACAAGAAAGGTTTGGTAAATTAAAAAAAAAAATCTTTTCAATTCAGTTTGAAAATTACATTTTAATAATACACAATAAAATGTACATCATTGAATAAAATATAGTAAGAAGGATTAGGGTTCGAGGGCTCAAGCTTTTTCGGACAAAATTAAAAAATATTTTTCAATAGAAAACTATGCATTATATTTAAATTACACAAACATTTTGATTTAAAACTACAAAGAGATATTTCACCGATAGATAGTTACATCATTAGAACAGCGTAATTTTCTTTAATATCTATATGATCTTAACAACCTTCCACATTAATGACCAGATGAAATTCCTGTTTTATCTTCGTAATATATTTTTTATTTTAGAACATTAAGTATAACGATAAAATTTTTAATCACAACCTCTAATTATATTTTTACGCTGTAAAGCATCAAGCATCATCTTCATTAGTTAAATATCCATTTAAGTTAATAGGTTACTATGTATAAAATCGATTGAGGTGGTTAAGAAAGTATTGTCTAACTGTTACTTAAATAGTGTACACATTTCTAATAAAGTTTTGCATAATTTTGTCAAAATGTTTCTTAATCTTTGTTTAACCGCTACCCTGATTGTCATAGGTAAGTTTTGAATACTTTACGAGAAGATACAAATTAAAATTATGTTTAAAGTATATCAAAGTTTTAGTAACTCATGACTACTGAAAGTTTTATTGACCTGTTGGTTTGATGTCAACTAAATTTAGATGTAAGGATGTAAATTGTACCGCAATTGTATTAAGCAATAAGTGACTGTATAAGTGACAACCTCATGAATTTTGGTTTGCTAACAATTATTGTTTATGATATTTTTTTCATATTGATATGTTTAGGAACTGATATTCATTATTAACTTATTATTAGTATATAAAGTAAGATTAACAAAAAAAATTGAATGTTTAAGTATAACGCAGATCATTAGAGTACCTACATAAACCTTTCAATAAACAAGCTTATGTATATCGCTTATAACATACAATCTTATATTATTTTCAGCATTTGCCGAAAGTGATTCCAATATTTGCAGTAATGTTGTCGATTCTTACATTGGAGACCCACAAAGCTGCGACACCTATATCAGATGCCAAGTATATATTATTTATATGATTTTTCTGCATAATTCATTTATTGTCATATAATAAACTGACACCATTCAACAGGCTCATCATCCGATACACGTATCTTGTCCAGATGGATTAAATTTCAACCCTAAGGTGAAATATCCGAATTTTCCTTGTAGTTATCCAGAGGATGTACCTTGCTATGGCCGAGCTTATTCAAGTAGGTCTAAACCACTGAAAGAAGTTAAAAAATATTCTATTCCAAATCATTTAATAACTGTTTGCATAATTTTCAGATCCGCCTCAGCCAACAGCTGAATGTCCAAGACAGAATGGTTACTTCCCTTCACCCGCTGCTTCTAAACAGGACTGTGGCCGTTATAGAGTGTGTAAAGCTGGGAAAGCGATCGAAATGTCTTGTCCAACGGGACTTGCATTCAAACCAGCCACCGCCAAATGCGATTGGCCAGACCAAGTACCATCCTGCAGCGCTAATGGTAATATTGAAGCTATTTCTTTATTCATATATTTCAATTTATCATTTTTATTTTATTTTCTAGTTAATTTTTTAACTTATAATGCTATAATTTAATGTTGTCTTTCAGATTTCTTTGGTTTCGCATGCCCACCCGGTACTGTAGATGTCAGTGGCAACCCGATTGTGACCAACCATAAGTAATTATCACTAATAATATTTTTTAATTCTAATTCGAAGTTTTTGATGAAGTTTTGATATCTTCTTTAATTACTATATGTAAAATATGCCATAGTCTGCTGTTGAAAGTAATGGGTGATTCTTATTTGCTCTTATTCAGGCATCAAGACGATTGCTACAATTTCTTCTCGTGTGAAAACGGCCAAGCTCGTCTTCTATCCTGCGATATCGGTTATGCCTTCGACGAGCGGTCCGGACGATGTGAAACAGCAGACACAGTTCCTTGCGCAAATAATGAATAAATACCTTAATTCTTTTAAATGTTTGAGATAAAAAATAACCCTAAGGTGATTTTGTAGGTTACAATATCAAATGTATCTATTTTGTAAAATAATTATAATAAATATAAATTTTTTTATTCAATTTATATTTGTGTATCGAATGAATATTAAGTAAGAATATCTATTACATAATAAAAATGTTTCCTTAAATGTAAAATAAATGGTTATAAAGGACTTTAAATGTACTGAGGACAATGAAAATATGTAATACTGTGACACTACACGTACACTTTAAAACTAATAAAAAATATCGAGTTACATTGAAGTATAATTAATTATATTACTACACGAAATAGCAATAGTTTTAAAAGTTCGAATAGTTATGGAAATTTTTACGACTTAAAATCAAGCTTTTATTTGCTTAAAAGAATTAAACTACGTCTGTCGACTTTACAAGTATCATGAGAGGAATAAAGTTGTTAATCTCTCATTTAGATATTTACTAACTTCTATGATGACTTGAATACCCTATTACAATAAATTAGGTACTTCTTTAAATACAATATTTTTAGATGACTTTTACATCTCGAATTGTGTCATAATATATTAAATAAAAATAATAAGTTGCTGAAAAATTTTACGTTTAATTCAAGAAACATTAAAATCTAATATATCTAATAATAAATAAAAATATGACGGTGCCAAAAATTATGGTCAATAAATCAAAATAGTATCTGTCATTTATAATAACAAACGTCTTTTTATCATTTTTCGTGAATTATTACATTTCTCATTAACAACAAAAATTACTCCTGACCACAATGCAATTACTAAAACAATTTTCAAGTTCCTAATCTTCGGCAGTAATAATGAGATAGTTATTTTAGCTGTAAAATATGATAAGAGGTTATATATAAAAATAATATATTGACGTTTTAATATCAGTGCATTAAGAGACAGATTGGCTAGTAGTTGTGATTTTGTAGTTATGATTGTGTTAAAAATTTTCTTTTTGTTCCTGCCTCTGCTGCTCGGTAAGCGAAATGAAGAGCGATTACTTTCAACAGTTTCAAAGAAAATTTAATAACAATTAAAATTTTTAAAAATATATCTATATTTTGTTTCAGTAAATGCACAGGGCGGTGGAAGATTTGGTTTTCCTAGTCGATTTGATTTTCGAAGGCCCATAGTAAGACCATTTCCACGACCTAGTGTATCCCCTGCTCCAGATACTCCAATGCCCACAGAAAAAAGTACTGAAAAGAGTACAACCACTGAAAAAATTCTAGAACCTGTTCCAACAACGAAAGCTGTTTTAACTACAATTTCTCCAATTATCATTCCCAAAACTACTACGCCACCTTTGTCAAGAATGCCACCACGTGGACGTTTTTGGCCTCGACCTGTATTTGAGCCCAAACCTGCCTCTGTGGTGAATTCTCCAATCGAAACATCGACAGGGGCCTTGGAAATAGTTACCCCGATGAAAATTTTTCCTGTATATTCTCCGGTCCTAACGGAATCGAATATACCATCAACAAGATCACCGTTCATACCTAATCGTATAACAAGTAATAGTCACCAAAATTTTGATCTCAATTCTCAAAATTCTCCATTTATGTCTCAAAATACAAACGAAGATGATAAAACTGCTGGATATCAAACCGAAAAAGTTAGTAGTGAAGAATTGAAAACTACATCAGAATTACCCTCATCTACACAAGAACTTTTAAAGGTCACGGAAGATTCTATAAATAACAAGCCAACCGTTTCGTCACCCTCAATAGTAACAGAAACTGAGACAGAAAAAATAGCTACAACTTCAAAAGCGTTATTACTCGAAGAAAGTACAAAATATGAACACCCTTCAAGTTTAAATCCAGTCGAGTATACTAAAGCCTACGTATCTCGACCTACACCAACAGTTACATCGACTCCCAAAATAATTATTGTACCAGCAATTACAGTGACGTCAAATGCACCACTTGACGAGGAAAGCAACAATGAATTTTCAAATTTCAACATAAGAAATCGAGTGCCACCTTATACATCCCACGCTTTGAATGTACCGGTACCTGAGAATCGACGAGATTTTACTTCTGGTTCATCTTTTCCATCAAAGGATAGTATAATAACAGCAGTGACTACAGAAAAACCGCCATCAACAAAAGAAACAAAAGAGTACCATAGCAAAGAACCTTCTACAAACGAACCGGTAATAAAAGTAGAAGAAACTCCATTTAAGTTAGTTCCAACAACTGAAGCCACCCCAGCGAGGACTAATGTTTATAAATTATCAACTAACGGTATTAACAGCTTCAAAGATAATTATTATGAGCAAACAACAGCTGCACCTAAAATTTTCTCCACATCAACAAAGGAACCTAAAAAATATGCCATACCTATAGCTACTGCAGGCCCAGTTATTGGCGAACAAAAAATGGACGATGATCGAGGCTTTACGCCAAAGAATCCTGTAATATGGCCAATTGAAAATTCTGAAAAAACAAAAATCCCAACGGATGGTTATAAATACGACACACCCATTTATCCTATATATTCCAATAATGAAGCAAGTTACGAGAAACAAAAATCTATTACAAATGCACCAACTGTTATGACTAATCCTACAACAATAACTGAAAAGTTTACTCTACCGACGACATCTAAACCATTGATAACTGATGATTACAAGAAATACGATTTGACCTCAGAAACTCCAATAGAATATACCAGTCAGCATGAAATAACAACAGAATCGTCGTATAAATTAGATACATATTCCACACGTTCAGTTTCTCTAAGCAATGATGAAGAGAGTTACCTTAAAGAGGACGGGAAACCAGAAGTCATTAATACGTCTAATTCATCGCAATCATATAGAACCTGGTATCATAAAACCGGTAAGCCATCAACTGAGCCACCAAAGGCCGTTATAATTCAGCTCTCGAATAACAACCGATATACTAAAACAACGACTGCACCTAAGCCATCAGTTCGTTATACCACTCCACAACCAAAGAATTCGTACGTAGAAAAAGTGTATGACATAGGAAACTTTAAATGTAAGGACGATGGATTCTATCCAATAACAAATCAATGTGACGACTTCATCGAATGCAAGGTATAAAATATTCATAATAATATTAACTTCTTCTGACATACTATTGGATTTTTATTCATTATTTTTTCTTACAGTCTGGAGTCGCTATACAAAACTCTTGCCCTGATGGACTTCATTTCAATCCGGCAGCTAAACACTCCGAATTTCCATGTGCCTACCCTTCAGAGGTTAAGTGTGAGAGCCAAGCTGCCAGTCGTACGTATATTTTTTTAAACATTTTCATAAAACGTGAACACTTCTAATTATAGTGTGATATTTTATTTACTTTACAGGTAAAGCTCAACCAACTTCCGAATGTCCGCGTCGCTATGGCTACTTCTCTCTGCCGAGTGGTGCCTGTGACAAGTACATTATGTGTCAAGAGGGTCTGGCCACAGTGATGTCTTGTCCCGCAGGACTTGCCTTTAACATAGCCACAAGCAGTTGCGATTGGCCTTCGAATGTTCCCGACTGTGTGCCTGATGGTGAGTATTCAGTAAACACCATCTATTTTGGCATATTTATTTTAAAAACCAAAAAGTAGATGCTTTTTGGTATAAGAATTCAAATATAATTACTCTAACAATATTTAATTCTGGTCTTGATTTTTATTAATGTGGATAATAAAGAATAAATCTTTTAAGTACCTACAAACAATAGTGTGAAAAGAATTATGTTTTCAGTTTTTGAAGGATTTATCTGCCCAGCGCCGGAGCTTGACGAAGACAGTAATCCTGTCCGCAGCATTTACAAATACAGGTAATTAGTATAATCAAAAAACTTTTAAAAGCATTATGATTTATATTTGGATGATTTTCATTTTCAAAGAAAAATATTATTTTACTACGCTCGTAGACTTGAATTTACTAAGAATACAGTTGGTGAAATATGAGGTAGTTGATTAAATATTATAAAATATTTTTCAGATACAAAAAGAGTTGCAAAAAATATATTGCGTGTCAAAAAGGACATCCTCGATTACTTAGCTGCGATTACGGACTATCTTTTGATGAAAACATCGAAAGCTGTGTGGATGAGAGTCGAATTCTTGACTGTACATAACGAAGAAATTGTGACATTCTTTAGCTTTATTAAAAGTATAGTAACTGTAAACTTATTTATAGGTTATTCTGTAACGATAACAATTTGTCACATTCCATTGACCAAAATATTTTTTATGTCTAGCCATTTCTTATGTGACAGTTTTATTACGTACTATACGTGAACATATTAGTAATAATCAAGGGATAAAATTTCCCTATAAGAATAAATTTTGGTTTGCAGAAAAATGTCTATTCATTTGTAAAACCTTGAAAATATGTAATCATAAAACGTTTTATTTTTTTTAATTGATCTTGATATACAAACAAACTAGTCGTAATGTAAAATTCAGAAAATAATCTACATTCCTATAATCAAATACTAGATATACATAATCGTTTTACAGTCCTAATAATTTACTAGCAATTTTATAAATAGGTATAACTTATAAGCATTTCACTTTAAAATTCCCGCTACAATTTACAATAAACATAGACTATAATTATAGACAATTTATATAACGTTGTTATACATGGAAATCTTTTATAATATTTGTTTTTAGATTTGTTAAAATAATTAAAATAGAAGTAAAATTATAATTCGGAAAAAAAAATATTTTTTTAAATCTCAATTTATAAAAGTTTACCTGCAAAACGATTTCATAACTTTTGCAGCATGACATTCATTGGTCAAATTCTCATAGCCTTGCTGTAATCATATTTCCAACCAATAATGTGTCATGTTTCTCACATTGACTTTTTTAAATTTAATAATAACCAATAAAGAAGCTACCCAAAAATTTATACGAAAGAAAAACATATTTATTTTTTCTGCGAAAGTAGCGCGGTTTTATTATAACTTTAAATTCAAATTTTGAAATTGTCGTAACTTATATCTTAGGGCTGAATAATACTTAAAAATAAATAGTGGTCCAACTGGAATGGCTAAAGATTGTTTACACCGTCTTCTGATGTGTTATTAAGGTGTTTCATGTGTAGGCAAGCAAAGACAGCGGGATGTTCCTTTAGCGCAGCCCTGCCGAGCGCCAACGTCGCCCCAGTTGACTCGAATCGAACGATTGCGTAGTCGCGCAAGGACCCCTGGGCTCTGAAGCTATTGTTCGTAATTTTAATATGGCGTTAATAAAACAATTTTGAAATGTTCCAAACAAAGAAGAAACGTTTAAATTAATGCCATACGTCTAGAAAACATAAATAACAGTGAAGGGAAGAAGCGATACAACTGAATTTGTTGTCATAATAAAACGCTCAAAATGGATGATTCATTTATCATGGCTAATTTCCATGAGTTATGTCGTCTCTGTTTACGTAAAAGTGAATTCACAATATCAATTTTTGGAGCTGTTCCTGACAATGAAGAAAATATATCTCTAACCTCGAAAATTGCTGAATGTCTCGAGCTGCAGGTTCCTTGTTTATATCAATTACTGGATTTTTTTTTCATCCTTGTAAGTTATAATAATACAATATAAATTATTTTTCTATGTTACAGATGGATCCCAATGATGGTCTTCCTACTAGGATCTGCTACAAATGCTTATTTAAGGTTAATAAATGCTCCAAATTTAGATTGCAATGTATACAGAGTGAGGCCAGATTGAGACAAATAACTAATCGTGTGAATGAGTTAGATAATTCAAACTCATCAGAATTAAGTAATTATAATTTTAACAACACCCCAGAAACATTAAAACCAAAGGCTGAAGATTATATTGTTGAAGATAGTGTTGTGATGGTAGTAGACCCAAGTTTAGACTATGATTCTTCAGAAGAATCTGAATATGTAGATCAAACAGAAACGGAGACTTGTGAACAAGATAACACACCTGACGGAGAAACAGCTTCGGAATCGTTTTATAAAAATGTATTTATGTGTCAATATTGTGATCAGGCATTTGTGTCTCAAGAAAAGTGTAAAGAACATGAGCAAAGCTTCCATGACCCAAATCTCCCTTATAAATGTGTGGAGTGTAGTTTAGTATTTTCAGAACGCAGCCAATTCGTTGCACACACTAGGCAAGTTCATGGTAATGATAAACCCTATCATTGCCCAGAATGTGACAAATGTTTTGGTAGACGCTCTGACTTGAGGAAGCATTCTATAGTTCACACTGGTATAAGACCTTTTCAGTGCCATTATTGTCTTAAGAGCTTCTCAAGGAATACAAACCTAAGTAAACATTTAAGAATACACGCAGGACACAAGCCTCATGTATGTCCTTTATGCCCGAGAAGCTTTGTAGCAAAAGGTGATTTACAGAGACATGTACTAGTTCACTCGGGTGTTAAACCCTATGCATGTAGGAAATGTCCACTAACATTTGGACGAAGAGATAAGCTGATAAAGCATGAAGTCCGACATGGACCTGTCAGTCCAGAAAACAAAGAATATGAAAATGACGATGCCCATGATATGGTTGTTAATGTAAATCCTTTTAGTAATCTAATGACATCCCCAACTCAGCACAATGTTGAAAACACTAATGAATATGACTTACCAAGAGTTCCGGACCATATTGCTGGAGATAGTACTTTTTTAAATCAAATTCAAAAGAATCCATCCACTTCTAGCAAACCTCAAACCAATTCACCACCCAAATCGAAAATAGTATCACCAAATAAAAATAAACCTAAGAATATAAAATGTCACCAGTGTCCAAAGAGGTTCTCCTCGTTAGATGCATACAAAACTCATGTGTCCATAGCGCATATTGGATCTAGGATATTTCAGTGTAAGATATGTTTCAAAAAATTCCCTAGAAAAAGAGAATTTGACCGCCATGTAGCTTCTCATTCTGGTATGAAGCCATTTAGTTGCAGTCAATGTGATAAGAAGTTTACAAGGAAAGATAAACTTAACAAGCATGAACAAACTCATGAATGTCTGGTTGTGAATATGCCTTGCATAGAATGTGGCGCAACATTTGAGAAAAAACCTGACCTTGTTGCACACATTAAGTCCCACTTTCCAGAAAATTATGATAACAAAATCCTTAATACTGAAATTAAAAAGGAAAATGTACCTGACTTTCCATTGGACAATTTTTATGACTTGGAAACCTGAAATTATACTAGACGGTGTAGTAATCACTTGACAGTTACTATAATAAATCAGCATCCAAATAAATTATTTATTAATCAGTATTTCTAATAATATTATTGTTGAATAGTTACATGTTTAAAGGTCTCCAGTTAATGTACTTAGATAATTTAGAATTGAAATGCTAGCTTTTATTTAATATTTAAATCTAGTATGTAATTATGCTCTCTTACTATTGTTGATTGCATATATAAGAATGGGTGATTTTGTTGTTAAAAAGGATTTATCATGTTTAAATTCAATTGCACAAATCAATACTTGTTTTGTATACTAAGAAAAATTTAAAGTGAATAAATAAATGTTCATATTATTTTAGTATATCCTTTACTGTTACCAAATATTTTTTAGTAAAATGTTTATGACTATCATGAAAATGTTTAAAAGCAATATAACAACACTGTGATGTGTCTCAAATAAAACAAATGTAAGCATTATTTAATATTTTCATTTAATCTAACCGGCCAAGGGGTTTGCATGTATTGTAATTGATGTTATTCTTGCTTCAGATAGTGGTTTAAATGTCTTTGGGTTAACTGGCATTTTTTCTAAATCATCCAATGCTTCAAAACCGTCAATAACTCTGGAAAACATATTTTTTATTAAACTTTGTTAATGTTTATTATAGAAAAATCAACAATACTAATTATTTAGTGAAACTTTGATAACAAAAAATTTTAAATTTTACTATTAATTCTATAAATTGTCAATTGCAACATACCTTCCGAACAATGTATATTTAAGATCTAGATGGGGTTGTTCACTATATGTGAAGAAAAATTGACTTCCATTTGTATTTGGACCATTATTAGCCATACTGACCATTCCTCTTGCATTGTGCTAAAAGTAGGTTATGTATTCATATATAAAATCACATTTATCTTAAATGAACTTTACAATGAGCAACACATACCTTTAACTCCTCTTTAAATTCATCATCAAACTTTTTGCCCCAAATTGATGTACCTCCTTTACCAGTTCCCGTAGGATCTCCAGTTTGTACTATAAAACCCTTTAAGTATTATAATAATTATTATGAATTACATTCGTCCAAACTTAAAAAACATAAAAAAATATAAAAATACCTTAATATTTCTGTGAAAAAGACACCCGTTGTAGTAATCACTAGCACATAAAGCTAAGAAGTTTTCACATGCTTTCGGACATTGTTCACAAAATAGCTCAATCTTTATGTCTCCAACATCTGTGTGCAAGGTTACAGACATCCTAAATTTGCCCAAGTTGTTTCGGCTATAAATATTAATTTGTAAGGAATAATGTGACAATGTTTAGACTCTTCGTATTTGTTTATCACATGTGTCATAAGTGAAGTTACGTTATGTCAATTGAATTTAAGGATAGTGTCATTTATCAGTTGTCAAAAGTAACATTATCTCAAGACATAGTATATATAAAAATTTATTGTATTTTTGAAATCCAAGGGTTAAATTAAGCAATATCAATAGAAAGTAGATTAAACAACACAATTGAATTTGAAAAATTAGTTTTTCATAAAATTTATGACCTAATAAGTGTATTATGGAGTTATGATACCGTCACGCAAGTAAAACTTTTTTAAATCCTACACATTTTATCCTCCTATACATTTTATAATGTTTAACAAATATCTCGTTTCAGGGTATTATAACGGCGTTTCAAGAAAAAATTAATTAGAAAATAGGGTAAATAATATCAATAGTAGATAAGGAATACTGCATCAGAGAATAGAATAAACGATAAACGAATTGTTATACGATTGGCTGATGTAAGCCATTGGTTTCAGCCATTCTATTCCTTGATCTTTCAATTTATCCGTACTTTACATCTGACATTAACGTGTCTTATATGGACGAAATAATAAATGGATAAATTCATAAATGGACAAAATTTTTAGGCGATGTTAAAATCACTTTTAAAGTACAAAATTATTTTCTTGGCTCTTTAAATAATTCTTTGTTACTATATCATTACTTGCAACTGTTTGTACAAAATATTATTTAATTTGTAATAAAAATAAAACAAAATAACACATACAATTATATTTTATAATAACAATAACATACTGCACTGTTCATTTGATATCCAAAGTTAACATATATATATATATAACAAAAATATTGAAGAAGTGTTTTACTTTGAAACCAAATTATACTGCACAATAAATAAATCAATTAAAAACATAAATGTTCTGAAATGGTTTTGCGAAGGAATAACAGCAATCCCTAACATACACTAGCATTACTTTTTGGATTTGACTCGATTTACAGTCTATGACGGACTAAGAATAAGTAAAAAACTAATAACCACTGAGATAGAACTTAACTATTCGCTACCACCAGCTCTTTCATTTTGTCCAGCATGAGGTTCATGTGTGTTTTCATCCATGCCCATTTCTCCGTAATTACCAAGCATCCTTTGACCTTTTGGATCAAATGGAGACTTTAGGTGAAGGTTGGCTTTGTACTTTTTCCCCATTACTTCAATTTCGTATTCACCATCCTGTAAGTAATTTTTAGTGACCACTGAACCACTGTTGGTTACGTAACCTACACCAATGGATTTGTCAAGGAAGAAGCCATAATCCCCTCTTCGAAGGTGTCCCACAGGTTCTCCATTTCTGAATATAGCTTCTTGTCCGTATAATGCAACCTAAAAGTTAGAATAAATATAGTAAAATAAAAAAAATACCTAATTGAAAGTTACAAAACTAAGTGGTGTAAAGTTTTGCTTAGAACAATGGTAAACTTACTTTATCGTCTAGCGTGAAGAATGCATATTTCTTTGTTACTCCATTTTTCCTAGCTCTTGTTACGCTTTCGTTGCCAATGTACTCCCCATCCTTGCGACATGCGAATGACAGGTTTGCTTCTACCGGATTATCATCGGTTCTCAGATCAGCATTCCAAAGATGGAAACCTAGAATTTATAAACATTTTGAAATTAATTTCTACCTAGTCATTTAAATTTAAGATTGCAAACAAATATCTGAATTCTATTCACCTTTTTCAGTACTTAAAGACGTAAGCGATCTCCAGCCAGCGTTTTTCAGTCCACTGTTCTGAGTTAAAGCTTTGTAAACTTGAACTGCGTGCGAGGAAGGTACATGAAGTTCCCAGCCGAGCTCGCCCGCCCAAGACACTCTTAAAGCACGACAAGTGTAGGCCTTATTATCAGGAGAGTGGGGTCCTTTCGACACCTTGATGCTGCGGTGTGAGTACAACGGGAAAGCATCATTTGATAGACCCGCGCTTGTGTATCCCTGCAGTATGCGCTGGCTGTTAAATATTAAATATATATCATTTTCATCTGATTTCATTATATTACAATTAATATTTCATATATGAAATTAATAAATTAAGTGTAAAATTTTACACAAAGTTTTTTTACCTGTTTGGACCGTTAATGGCTAGAATGCAAAGCTGTTTGCTAACGTCGGTGAGGTTGGCGCGAAGTTTGTGTTTGTAAATAATGTGACGGATGATAGAAGCGGTGTGATTCGCACTGAAGCCGCTTGTCACCACGTAGTAACCACGACCCTGTGTTTAATTTAATTTTATTATGTACTTATCAGGATTACCCATACTTAAGTATTATACCCGCGACTATCGCAAACACAAAAAAGAAAACATAACATTTCGACCTAGTAAGGTGTACTAAGTCATACACATTATTTGTGTATAAATCATAAGATTTTTACTAATGAAAAAGTTAAACAAAATGAGGATGATATCTTAGTATTAATCTGAGTTTAATTGTGGGTGAACTTTCAAATTCTCTCTGTACTATACTCTATACCAAGTACCTATGGGACACGTACTTTAAATATCGGTTCATGTAGCTGGCCACTTCCTCCATCAAGGACGCTGACTGTCAGATCTGCCTCCACTCCACCTTTCTCATTCAGTATAAGAGTATAAACAACACTGAAATGTTATGATTTAAAAATATATAAATACAAAACATGATAATAATAATTACCCAAAAACACAAACAAGCGATAACCATGATATTGCAAGTATTTATTGATAATTTCTAAACCAAATTTATACTATTAAAAATCTTATAAATGTTAATCGATTTGGAGAAAATCATTGTGCATTTTACCTATCATGTTTCTTGCTCAAGTCAGCTGTAAAAGCTAGTTCAGCAGTTCTCTGAGCATCAGGTCCTGTTAAGTAAAATTTTCCGTAGTAAGACATATTGAATAAAGCCGCAGCATTTCTACACGCCAGCGCTTCCGATCCGATCTATAAGAATGCATAAGAGAAATTGTAAAAAAAATCGTTAAAATAACTTTGTCTGATAATTTTTTTATGATACTTACGATATCATGATGCTTTGAAAAGCCAAACGTATAATCTCCTCTGAGAAGATCTTCATATCTTTGATCCAAATTACGAGGGTAGTCATTCACGCCACCCCAGTCGTATTGTTGGACTCTGATCTAAAATTCATTTAACTTTGAGGTAACAGAAGAAAACGAGATGTTATATAAAATAACTAATTTATACTTAGTCAATAACTGAACTAACAAGATAAATTATATTATGCGACGCCAATAAAATTTTATACATACTCAATATTTAGACAGTGCGAGCTAACATAAGCTAACATAACTTAATTTAGCGAGAAAAATTAAATCACAAATAAATTGCAAATGCTAAATAGACAAGTGTCAATAAAACCTCTTTCGTACCATTTAACGAAGCGCTCATATCTGTGATGTACTTTTGAAGGACGAATTAAATATGACACCACCTGCTAAACTTTTTAATCTATGCTAACCTTTTCCCCGGGTACAAAGAACCCTGGACGTTCCCAGCCGGCTCTCGCCTGCATCACAGCTCCATCATCTATCAACTCCTGATGAAGAGCGTCATGACTCGCATCTCTACCAGCGAGGGGTTCATCATTCAAGAACACGATGCTGTAGTTCTTAACATACGATTCGTGACTGCTCTCACGGACCCAATGCGGTCGTGCCAGTTGACCAGACGTAAAACGAGCAATGTCGAATGTAAACATGTTATAGTGCGGCCTAAAAGAAATATTTTATTTAAATTTCTTATACATTACCATTACTGTGAAGCTACATATTGTTGAGAATATCATGTTTTATGTAAGTGGATGAAACAAATAATTTTCTAAATGTATAAAATAAGATATATTCGTCTCTTGAAATTGTATAAAATAATGGTATGAATCTTTTTAATTAGATCCAGTGGGACATGTAATTTAACTTTCAAACGCTTATTAAAATAAGATATCCAGTACTATTGATAGGTATTATACAATTTTATAACCGAATATAATTTAAAAAAATGGAACGCAAGCATACAGGTTATTAAAAATCTAGTAGTATCATTTGTTACTGCTAATAATTGTAGTAAATGTATATTTAGTCATAACGTTAACGAACTGTTGCGGGAAAGTAGCTCATTATATAAACATTTCATAAAATTAATGATCTAATTAAATTGGTTAACTGTTTTAATCAGTTAAATTACATACTTAAATGGCAATTAAAAATGATGCCGCAACAGATTTTTTATTTGATAAGATATTAAATGATTATTTAACTATAATAGTTGTCAAACACGTTTTAATTAATGTTTTCGTTAAACTTGTTTATGTGAACCTTAGAAAAATATTTTAAAGCCTATAATTATGTGCTTTACTAATAATATATTAAATTTAGACGAGGCTGAGAGAAAGTTACCTTTATATAGGTAGTCATAATAAATCTTACCTTCCACTAATTATCCATTCAGCTAATTGTATGGCGGTACCAGCAGAAAACATCATGCCGGAGGAATTATATCCACAGTTATGGTACAAACCTAAAATTAAACAAAAAGAAACGTATTTTTTGTAACATACTAGTGTATTAAACAAAGTTTTAAGACCAAAAAAATATTACTCAATACTACAAGAATATTTAATCTAAAACAAATTCATACTTGAAATAGAAAAAATATAATTCCTTGTCTAAATGCTATACGAATTCATTATTGAAATAATATTAAGAGAAAATATTCAATGGGTGAATATCACTAATACTCGGTAAGCGCAATCGTTCAAGCAAGCAAGATCTCACCAAAAACATTGCAATCTTCTCCCATGAGCGGCTTGTGGTCGGGTGTAAATGACTCGGGACCACAAACTGTGCTTTTTATCCCAACTTTACCGAGTTTCGGACAAAGTGACGTAGCACTGTTCATATGAACACTGAAGACATCCCAGTCTAAATCGTATAGATGGAAGCTTTGACTATCTGCAACCTAAATCTTCATTATTGTACGTCGAAAAATACATAAAGTAATTAAATGACAGCAGACTAAAAAAATCCCTTAAAATCTCAGGACATCAATAACTAAAGATATACGGTTAGCGGTTTTATCAAAGTTTGGTTATTAATACGAAATAATGTGATAAATGACGACATCGGAATACTTTCCCAAATTTTCAAATTCTAATACATATCTAACTAATCAAACAAATCTTAAGTGAAACTATAAGTTTATAATGAAGTATACGCTGAAAGTTTCTCTTCAAGAAAAAATATATTAAAAAGAATCTAATTAGGTTTACGAAAAAATCATCGTCATTTCCATGAATTAATGACCTACGTTTATACTTTTGAAAGTATAGGAAGACGTTAACAATACCATATGTATATCTATACCAACCTGATCAAGCATTATTGGATTATTTTCATATCCACCAATATTACAGCTTTCACCTTGTATTTTGAAATATAAATTAACATCATGGTCTCTAACGTTCGGACAACCTCTGATCTCTGGTATAGCGTCGGACACTACGTAGGCGTGTTTAAATGGAATCAATGGCAAAGATGGCACTCCAGCAAACCTTGCTATACGAGCACCCCATACACCTAAAACATGTACGTGGAAATTATACACAAGTAAGCTCTAAATTTAATCTTTATCATATAAAAAACTTCAGCGATGCTACAGTACACAATAACAATTAAAAAACCTCGAGAAGCTATTATTTCTTATCTTCTAAGAATACTAAACTCACCGCCACAGTTTACTACACACTTGGTCCTGATAAATCCCTTTTCTGTATGAACCCCGGTGACCTCTTTATGTCCGAGCAAGTTATGAGCGTAATGAATATCAATGACCGGACAATCTTCGTATATCTAATAGAAAAACATATTTGAATAAAACGAAATAGAATGACAGTCAAAAGCTCTTTTCTTTTAAACAAAATTGGCAAACCTTTCCACCATTTTTAGAGGCTGCTTTGACGAGAGCGTTACATGCCATTGCGGGATCTATAGTACCGTCAAGAGGTGAATAAAGTGCCATTTTAAATACTGATGGGTCTAAAAGTGGGAATAACTTCTGAGCTTCATTTGGATCAAGAATTTCGCTCGGTATACCCATTGCTTTCCCTAGTGTGTGCAGCCTTAAGTATTCTTCTGTTCGAAGCTAAAAGATATCATGCGAAAACCATTCATTATTGTATTACACTTAAAACTATTTTTAATATTTATTAATTTTACCTTGCTTCGCGATATAAACATGCCTCCATTATTGATCCATCCTGCATAATCTCCTGTCTCTTGCTCTAGTGAACTATATACTTGTCTAGAATCTTGTAGCAATTTAATTTCTAGATCACTGGGTCGAAGAGACCATACCAGACCTAAGAATGATCAGTATGTAAGTAATAGAACCTTCGACAAATATCTAAGCAATAATTTCATGAGGATATTAGTATTTTAATTATTGTCAAACTGTTAATTGTCCTACCAGCCGTGTGCCATGTTGTACCGCTCGTCAATTTGTTCCTTTCCAAAAGAACAGCGTTGACTCCTCTTTTCGACAACTGATATAAAGTATTACAGCCAGCAATACCACCACCTAACATAGGCTTAGTGTAAATAACTTATATTTACTTCATTATTTTCAGTTATTAAAATTGTTTATTCTTAATTTGTGCTACGACTTAATCTCTAATATTGAGGAATTCTTGGTATGAAGAGTAGTTTATTCCATTTCAGTATACGTAGGTACATACAAAATTCATCCAATCCGATTCATATACATACAATATATTATGTACTATCATTGAACTACAAACAACTTTGGTTTCCATAGCTCACTTACCTATGATAACAATATCGGCTGATGTAACAACTTCATTGCTGGAATAGTTTCTCCCGTTTATGCTTTTCAAGTAACTCGCCGCTTTCGTTCTTATACACCTATCCCTAATTACTTTAAACATGTTTGTATACCAAATTATTTCTTGTTGTGTCCCTCTTGGAAACAGAGCGTATTTGAGTCGACTTTGCTTTTAGGAATCTTGCTATAAACACTGATACTGTATCGTTCGTTATCACGAATAAGTCAAAGTTCAAACGGTCATATTTATCAAAGGGTAGGTAAAAAAATTACGTCAATGTTTGCAAATAAAACGCCGGTTTCATTTCTAATACGTTTATTTTTATATTTACATTGTTTTTTTGCCAAAATTATCTTCGATAAGCTTAACATACTCAAAGGGAACTAGCCTCTAGGAATTGTCGAATTAATACCAGTAGAAAATTATCATTTCGTAATACTGTTATTAGAAACGTGTTAAAAAAAGCAAATTTATTTTTCACACGACATTATTAAGAAAAATACAATCATTTCTAAAATGAACTGTATATTTTTTCATTCAAACTCATTTTTAATCGGTATAAATTTTCTTTATTATTGTAAACAAGAAACAGTCTTTGCAATCATATATTGATTTTGTATATAAAAAAATAACTTACATGACTTATAATTATACATTGAAACATCATCTGTACAGACAAACAATACAATGACTAAATGCAACGTCTAAAATAATACTTAATTGGAAATATTTTTCTGAGTTTACATATTTTTAGATTACAACATAAAAAAACTGTAAATGTAAATATTTATAACATTTTTTATCATGTTTATCATGGAGGCGTTTTCTTGTTCTATACATAACTATATTATAAAATAATAAAAAAGTGACGTCAGCATTCTCTTACGTCATCTATTTAAAGTTGGAATCTACCTGGAACAGAATATTTTAAGCAATAAATCATAAATATTTAATAATAAAACCTTACCCTACGAGTACATACATACATATATTTTTATTTGTTTTCGGAATTATTTTATAATATTGAACTAACAGCGTTTCAGGCTCATATAGAATAATTAAAAAGGCAAAACTTTGAGATATATCGTTCGTTATGTTAAATAAATGTCAATATTAAATTATATTTTTGTCTCACTTTGTCCTTTTGCACAAGCTAAGATCTTCGACCATGCTGCTTTTATTAGTATTTCTTTAATTTATTATTTTAAAGTTATGATTTTGCCAAATTCTTTATAATAGGGATATCATACGATTGGGTAAATACATAGGAGTAATAAGCTCCTATTCCTATTTAGTAGGAAAAAAGTAATGAGTTAATTTTTGTGAGCCTTGTGAATCATATTAAGAGTTTTCTTAAATAAATAAAAAAATTATTAATTAAAGTTGAACATACAATTTCTTCAAACTTCTTGATTGCTTATAAATAAAAAATATATATGCACATGTATACTGAAAAATAGTTTATGAAAATTTTGTCATGAAAATTCATATTCTTAATAAAATAACATTTTGATTATGTGATTATATGAAGTGATCATATAGGTGATCAAAATGAGAGAACTGGCAAGAAATGTTTTAAATGTTCCTCAAAAGAATCTCGAGAAAGTTAAAAAAAAACGGATTATTGTCTGTTTGTAGACACTTAAAACATATAGGTATGTAAAATAATTTTATATTTGGGTATTTTAAATTTTTTTACATAGTAAAACAGATTAAAAATATTACTCAAATATCAATAAAAATTAATTTTAAAATAAATATAAGTTAACCTAAGAATGAGAAATAATATTTAATCATATAAGATTATTCAATACTTTGTTTGATCTGTCACTTCCTGATGTACTCATTAGAATAAAACTAGAAATTAAACAACAAATAAATATAACAAGACAAAGTCTTGGAACTAATTTTGAACAAAAACATGATTCTAAATTTAGAGCCCAAATTGAGTAGCAAAAAATTCCGGACTTAAGTACCCAATAACTAATAATGCTGAACTGTTAATATAACATACATTGTTATGTTATTGTATGATGGAAGGTCAAAAGTATTGAGCACGGGAGACGTATTCTGGATTTAGAGCCCAAATTGAGTAGCAAAAATACCAGATTTAAATTTCTATTACCTAACAATGCTCAACGGTTAATATAACATACATTGTGATGTTATTCTATGGTGGAAGGTCAAACGTGATGTGGGCTGGCGACCCTCGGCGGGGTTAGACCCAGCCGGTGTTGTCTCGCCGCGTGGTCCCCGGCCGCGGCCGCAGCTGCTGCTTCCAACTGAGCACGAAGAGCTACCAGCTCACGTGTACGTTGGTATATCGGATCCTGAACATACATATATATATATGGATAAATACAAGAAGATTTTTCTAACTTATATATCAATCTTGTATACTCTAAGTATATAACTCTTTCCCTCTGAGTGTTGTAAATTCAAAATCTCTAAATATATTTAAAAAACGATTAAGAACCCACATATTAGATGATTTCACTGATCTTGTTTAATATCACTACTGTTTATTATTTGTAATATCTTAATTGTAGTTATAATTTTAAAATTTCCTTTGTAAGCGAACTTTGTTCTTTTTGTAAATAAATTTCTTAAACCTTATATAATTATAGTGTAGAGTCGCTTAAAATAATTGTTTATAACTTTATATAACGGTGTTAAGGTGGTACTAAAAGAACATTGAACTGATAAAACTATTCAAAATGTATTATAAAAAATGTAATATAATAAAATTGTAATAAGTATTATATGAGGTAATGCGGAACTTCTTTATAAAAATTCACAATATTTTAATAAGATATAGTAAGTGTTAATATTATCACCTGCTGCCTCATAGTGGGGTTCCACCTGCAGTATAAAGCCTTCCAAAGCTTTATGATTCTCAGCGAGGCGACTGGTACCAACACCATCTGTGGTCTGGTGTGTTGTGATGGTGGCGAGTTAGTGAACGATGATGGACCCCAGTACAACGGGTTAAGGTACAAATTCTGCCTGCTGTTTATATATGACCATAGTGACGTCGTTTTTGTTTTTAATTCTGAGAAAAAAAACAAGAGGTTCGTTATTTTGTCTAAATTTTGGTGTATTTATGGCGAAGGATTATACATTAAACTTGGTCGGATATATTGATCGTTGTAGTTTCTTAATTAATATTTAAATATGATATTTGTTTCAGATAACTTATGTATTGACTCTCATTTGCTCAAATTTATAATGAATTATTTTAACGTGGATTTTTTGTACTAACTATTCTAATGTAGACTTCGGCAAAAATATGCACAAATTTTAAAGAATACAAAAACTCAAGTTCTTTTAAGTGTCTCTGGATTATAAATTTTCTAAATTAGAGCAAAAAAATATTGTTTAAACTCCTTATTCTCAGGAATTACAAGTAAAAATAAGATTCGGACTAACAATATTACAAAAAAGATAATCGCCGTAGTGTAATGGTAGAAGTTATATAGGCACGGTGCGGGTGCCGGGTTCATAGCGTTGCAGGGAGAGGAGTTTCAACAGTGCTTGGGACTTGCGACCCAGGTGTAGGTTTGAGGGGACCCTGCCTAAAGCGCATAAACGCTCACCTCCACTGCCCAACCTCCTCTCTCTACCTAACTAAATTTGAAACGGACCTAATAGCCTATTAACAAGTTCCAACACCGTCTGATCTGGTCTAACGATATGATGATGACCACAATAATATTTCTTACCTTCCTTGACCCTCTCCCGTTCGGTATTAAAGAGGAATGTTCCGAAGCGACAGGAGTATAAGTGGTCGACCACCGTGATGAGGAGTCGCTCAGTGAACTCGAAGGCTGTAGGGAACTGCTGCTGAAGCTGCCACACGCAGTCCACCCACTGAACGAACACTGGCGACCGGTCAGCGTCCGAGTGACGCTCGTCACCGTGACCTATACGCTGAGGAATTAATTATAATGAAACTCTTTCATATTGAAATGAATAAATAATAGCTTAAAACTAGATTATCATATAAAACAATGTTTGGGGCATTAGAATGACGAGAAAATCGGTTTGGATAGTACGGTACCTTATGAGGGTAGATATATTGTACAACTCACAAGTGGATGGAATATAACTATTATTATTTATATTTTATAGCAAATGTTTTTGGGTTTGTTACGTAAGCATAACCCGATATTAAGTTTTCGGTATAACAATTGTGTAAAGTACGGAATGCTGACTCTGAGCCATCGGTGGGACTGGGAAAGTGAAATGGACACCACACGCCTTGCACCATCGGTGAGAATGAAGAATGGGATTTTTACATATATTCAGACTGGAGTCAACCGCTGACTTACAGACACCTCTTTAGTATGTAGTTAGTTATAAGACTTAATTATAGAATGGGTCTTAAGTCAATCGCTGACTTAAAGACCCCGCCCTAGTTAGTAGTTAAATTTAAGTCTTAATTGGTAATTGAATATATTTTATAAGTAAAACGGATTTTTCTTGCATCCTTCGCTGCCACCAAACGTAACTGGTTAGTATGTCTGTTACTCAAATACGATAATTGAAAGAATTTCAAATAAGGAATAGACGATAATTGTTAACCGTCTCCAAAAAAGGATTAAGTTGTCGATTCATCTGTATTTTTTAACACTTACAAGTTGAAACTTATGTCCGAAAGACAGCCACTCCTTTTCTATGAGTACTTGGAAGCCTCGTAGGGTGCGGTAGTATGGATCCAACATCAACATGGCCAGTGCTGTCAGCTGAGCTGTTCTGTCCCAGCCGTCCGAACAATGAACCAGTACTGATGTCTTATGATTCTCCACCTGAATGTTAAAATATTTAGATATGTATATATAAATACTACTACATATATTTAGGACAAGCAATGAAGATAATTTGTTTGTGAGTGTTGTTATAAAAATTAAATTGGAATTATATTGTTTAATTTAACAATGGGATCTATACATATTTATTGTAAATGATTTTAAATGATTTATTTGACATTAAATTTTTTAACATGACTATTGGCATAAAATTCATTACATTTATAACTGGGTATTGAATTGAGACTAATTATACAGGGTGACTGGTGAATTACTATCGATACTTGAGGACGTGATATTTGACGATCATATATGACAAAATAAAAATTAATATAACATAAATATTAATAAACTTCTAAGTAAAGTTAACCAAAAGTTATGTAATTAATTACGCATCGTGTGAACACCCTACAGATTAGGTATACACACACACACACACACACACACACATACGCGTGCGGCGGCGTGGTGTTGTATCAGCACGCCGCCGCACGCGTCCACACTTGGAACATTTGGAACGTGTCCACACTTTATTTATTTATACGGAAAGGTCAAAAATTAAGTACCTATTTTTTTACATAATTCGAATGAGAATCATGTACCGAGTATTCTCCTTAAATATTGATAGTAATTCACCAGTCACCCTGTATAGAAAAAACAGATATTCATGTCTTATTGAGTTTTACACTACTAAAGTCAAGATACTATAACAATATAAGTTTTAATGTGTTATGATAACATTTTCCACGAATAACTCGACCTATTAATGAATCCTTGAAATAACTCACAGTAAATTAGTGTTCCATTACTATAACTAAAACTTCCCATTACTCATACGAGGCTAGTTTACAAACAAACGTCATTATTGAATCATACAGTTATTAGTTACATTTAATAATATTAACGTGTTTTGATATTACTAACAAAACAGTTGAATAATTTAAAACATATGTCCTTATGTTTAAGGTATATTAAATAGATCGATCAAGTTTCAACACTTTATATATATGAAACATACCTTATCAACAATTCTCACAGCTCCAGCCAAAATGCATTTTATATGCTTCAACCAACAGCTAGCCTCTATACCACTGAACCATCTGAAATACAATTAAATAAAAACATAAATATCCAGTTATGTAGGTACATGTGACCAAGCTTTGTTAGAATTTTGAAGAAACTAGAAAAATTAAAAATTCTAGGCACAATTTTGATTAAAAAGAATATACTATGAGATTATCGACAGATAATACAGTGAACTTTGTAAGAAGTATTTCCTATAATTCTAAAAGAGGTGAGACACTTGATACAAATTATATACATATTTGCCAAAATATCCATTACGGTTAGAAGTAAACAAAAGACTAGAAAGGGTATTTAATATATAGACAAATACATTAATAATAAATTTGGAATAACAGTCACGCGACTATATACAAGTATACCTATAACATATTACCTTGTCTGATCAATTTGAGGGAAGCAAAGCTCTTTGAGTTTCCTCAAACTTTCCCTCATCACATGAATGTTATGGATGTCAAGGAACACTAGCTCTGCATTCTGATATGCATCTTCAGATTCATAACTGAAATGATAACATATATTAATTACTTTTATACATGTTATATTAAGTATGTACTTATATATATATATGTATATATATACTTCTCATTTAGCAGAAAGATACATACTGATAAAGTACCTTGAATAAAAAAAAGTTCAAAATTTTCCAGGTAACAAAAAATAATATTTTACTTTAGTTTATTTTATTATTTTATGATTTATAAACTTTTCTTATACAATGTCATAAATGTGAGTGATCATTTGAGTAACGGCTTTAATAAGCCTTTACCAAAAACAGATCCAATTACTATAATTATATTTATAAAAAAGTTTTTGAGTAGTTTTGTATTATTAAATATAATACTATAATTATTCAGCTTAATTTTATTTATATAGAATTCATTTGTCATCATTATCTTTTGGAACTGTCTACTCAATAGATTTTTTAATATCAAACAAAATGAAATTCTGTAAGAAAAGCATCAAAACAAAATTTCTGCCTCTTTTAATTGATTAATCCCTATTAAATTTAGTAAGCTATAGTGCGTTTGAATTAGCTGAGCTTTGCATTTGTGTGAGTGCACACGGATAATGTAGGTGTGATGTCAAATTATTGAATGCAATGTTCTTTTCTTGTGTTGAACCGGTTTATTCTGCTTTTACTCCGCCCCGCACCTTCCGCACTTCACCCTATGTACTGATAGCAACTTCAAATGTTGAAAGGGCAATGTCAAGTGAAGACGAATTTGTATACTTTTTCAAATTTTTTTGTAATTAGTAATTTTTATAACATTCATAATCTATCTGGCCTTTTCCAAGTTTTGCTTATTTTATTTTTTATCTAGTATAGATCTAACACTTATGTAATGTATCTATTAAAAGTATAATAAAATGTAATTCTAAATGTTTTTGTCTAACTCTACTTTTACTTTCACTCACACAAATGCTAAGCTCAGCTTAAGTCTAACGGACTATACATGCATGTATATATATCTTTATTTATAATTTACCCGCCGCCCTTAGCTTTATTGGCGATAGCGTTAGCGCTGGGTCTTGCATCCATAATGAACAGCTTGTGAGCCTGGGCATTGGCGTCCATTATCAGTTGTATATAACGCTCGTCTTCACGACTACGCTTACCACTTACCTATAATATATTTACATGAAAATGAAGAATACTTATAGAATAAACTAATTATATGAAATCTTTATTTTCAACTAAAATGTTAAAGAATAACTTAGTGAGTTATTTAACTATTCAATTTCAGTAATTAGCTATTTAATAAAGGTTAACAAGAAAAGACAATTTTTTTCAATACAACTACTTAGTTCTGTTCAGTTTAATAACATTATATAATTTTGTCATGACAAATATATGTCTGTATTTGATTGTACATATATATATACAAACAGTTTTACTTCAGAAACACATAGTAAAAATAGACAATTTTTTCAAAAACTTTTGGAATCCTTACAATAATAATGCAGAGCATTACTTAATACCAATTTCCATTAAGCCACAATATTTTATCATACTTACCCCAACTAAAGGTTGACTACATCTGGTGATAGTAGCCTGGGAGCTAGGATGTATCCATGCCAGAACAGGTATACGACCCCTGGATCTGAATGCTGCCACTGACCTCAGAAGATCATCATTAGCAGCAGCAGGAACTGCCCACACGGACGGATAGCTATCACATATCTCGTACTTATCATTGATGCGTGTTATGCGCCACATATCATTGTTCACACCCTGAAAATATAAGAATATTCACTACTTTTCGTATTTATAATAGTCCATTACAGACATTATCTGCAAAACATATAAATAACATTTATTTTTAAGCTATCATGAGCTGTGCAAACCAAAACTATGTTGTAACTTATAAAATAGTTTTGATTTGGTCAATAACAAATAGAAGTTCCAAAAATAATAAGTATGTATACAAATATTTACTTTGAAAACTAGGTTAATAAAAATACATCATGACTATAAAACATATTGGTCTCTTGCATGATTGAACAAGCAATTAGAAGGAGCTGCATAAATTGACTCTGATAAGTTAAAACTAGTTTCTACTCATTTATAATGGAATGCTACATGAGTAGAATAAAAGTACACTATTTGATATACAATTCTTCCTAAATGTACAAAAAATAACACTGTTATAAATAGTTTAAAACACTTTTAATTTATTTACCATACGTCTGAGTTCGGCGATAGGTTCATAAACATTCCATCCATCTTCTGGAAAACTTTCTGAATAACTGAATGCAAACATCGGCAGCCTGTGTGATAATGGGAAGGCTAATTGTTGCAGTTTCTCAAATATACCTCTCCGAGAATGATTCTCTTGTTTGTGAGCAAACCTCAAGTTACGCATATCCTAAAATAAAATACAATTTCAATATGTAAACAAAAAAAAATGAGTTTGAGTAGCCTTTTTAGGTAGCTCATAATAGATATTAACAACAATATAAAATATATATGCAAAATGAGGTATGGACAGCCTACCTTACAAAACACTTCAATGCCATATGAATTTTCACCTTTTGATGATGCTCCACCAACTTTTTCAATTCGGGAAACCTGAATAAATTAGTCTTATCCATTAACATATTTTGAATTACATCTTTTTTTAGGATAACTTAGTTGGATACTTACGACTCCAAGTGGAACACTTAAGGTAGTCTGAAAAGAAGTAGCTTCTGTAGGTCGAAAATGTATCTGATAGTTTGTAACTTTTAAAACACCCCGTGATGGCCCACTATATGGGCACAAGTATGTAACATCTCTGGCAACACCCATAACCTTCTCTCCATCCAATAATTGTATATCTCCCAATACATGACTCTATAATAGAATAAGTTATAAAATTACAAAATAGCAGACAATTTTAAAAATATAACATTATTCAAGTTAATACAAGCCTTCTGAAATTCTATTTGCTCTTTATGACTTAAAATTCGATTCACAAATAAACAAATATGAATAGGTTTGCGTTGATTCATTTTAATGCGAATTTAAAAGGAGACTAAGCTTAAGGCGTACTGTGAACAAGACTATAAGCTCAAGAGCACTACAATAATTTTAAGTTTAAGGAAGCTATATCAGAACAGTTATAATACTCAGTAGGCATAAATTAATCATTTTAGGAAACTTACGGAATCCTGTCCGTGTTTGGAATTCAATGAACTCGATTTAGAATCAGAATCCAATGAATCGGAACTAGCATTCTTAGATAGTGGAAAATCAGAATTTAACAATTCTGAACTGTTATGTTTGTCCATTGTATTCCAATTAATATTCTTGAAATCAAAATATATAGGTACATAAAATTCAACTCAGTATTTTTGTTTTGCAAAATAAATAATCAGTCCATGAAACTGCTAATAATCTATGAAACTAAATGTCAGATTTCTGATATGAAATGCTTTGACAGTCAAGTATTGACGACATTTTAGGAGGGTTGCTATATTTAGATATTAGTTACCACTTTTAAATTATTTCCTTTAATACTAAAAAAAATTCAATCCATGATTCTCTACTTAGAATTCCGTGCATTTGCACTTCTTTACTTTCTTTAATGACCTTAAGGAGTATGAAAGACTGATTTTAAATGTTGTTAAGTTCTATCTTCCCTGATGCTATGGAAACATATCTTAACTAATTTGATCAATACTGTAATCTCCTGGTTTCGATTACCTAAAGCTTAAAAATGAAATTTCCTGTTGGAATTAATAAAAATACGTACATAACTTACAAGAGTAAGGAAAACTTAGAGAAGGATCGAAAAATAAAGTCAGAAGTTTTTGATTGGGATTCTAGACACCCAAAAAGTCTTGCAGAAATGTGTGTAGAAAAATTAAGCTTAAATTGGATGGGTAAGTTATAAACAATTATAATTAATATGAATAGTGAAAGTTTACTCAGTAATCATTTCCTTTCAAGGTGAACCTAAATTAGAGGATCTTGTTGCTAAGGACAGAGAACACTTTCTGCAAATATTAGATACAGATATACCACTACAAATTCTAGTTGATAACATTCAAAGTGATATTTTTTGGAAAAAATGCTACGTCTCTAAATGGTCTGATATTCCAATAGAAATAAATGATAAATCTTGGATTACTATTTTCATGGAGCGATATTATGCAGACTTTTTAGAACAGTTGAATCCAAGACAGTACGATCCGGAAAAAGTATACTTAAAAAAATATTCTTAATTAAGGTTTTTACTAAGTTTTTTTTCGGTTTTATTTTATTTCGATTTAATACATTATACAGGTACGCAATTTAGTAAAACTGTGTGGACCATTCATACACACCTTGTCTATACGAAGTTTAGTCCCTTCAGATTTAGATGATCAGCGAAACATATCTCCAGAAATGGCTGGTTTAATATCTGGCCAAAGACAAGACATGAGTAAAATAAATAGTAAAACGATTGAAACTATGCCAAGAGGTACATATGAACATTTTTTCTATATTATATGAGAAGTAGGTACTTAAATATTTTTAAAATAGTTCCATAATTTTTCAGATCACATATCTTTACATGCAGCTTTAAGCAGCCTAACGCATTTATCAGAATTACATATTACGTTTCAACAACGTTTTGTTGGCATTCAATATAGAAAAGACCAATTTCAGTTTACTATTAATGATGCAAAAAACTTAGCACGTGGCTTGGAAAAGTGCACTCAACTGAAAATTCTAAGGTTTATACGCTATATCATATACAGAACTAAATTGTGCTATTTAGGAATAACCACAATGTTTGTATTATAATATATATGTATGTTTTTATTTTTAGAATTACGCGAAGTAACATGAATTGTCAAAAACTTAAGTACATACTCCGGGGATTATTAGATAATCAAAATATTGACACCTTAGATTTTAGCCACTGCAAAATTGCTGATGACGGGGCATCCTCCATTGCCAAATTTATATCAAAAAGGGACAAAATTCGAAGTTTGATTCTTGCGGATAACGTTTTCGGTACATAAATATATATTAAAATAACATTTCTTTACTTTTATCTCATAATATTAACTTTGTTAACAACATTAGGTCCTGTGGGAATTGAATATATATCACAAGTTCTGAACCATACCAGCTGTGGACTAAGGATATTAGACTTAAGACTGAATAATAAACTTGGATCAGAAGGAATAGCTCAATTAGCTGTTGCTATAGCAAGAGGGTGTAATCTGATTTCGTAAGTATCACTTTGTTTAGGTACAAGCTTAATTTCTTTTCTGAAATAGCAATAAGTATCGTGTAAACCTTAGAAATGTGTATTAGAGTCGGAAATAAAAACAAACACTTTCTTCCAGATTAAATATTTCAGGTTGTGGTATAAAACCTCATGCGTTGTTAAAACCTCCAGCAGGTGTATGGTCTGCTATTAATGCTGATAATCCACCAACGTGTGGAGATCTACTAGCTAGAGCAATCGGCTTAGTGAAAACGCCCTTGAGATCTTTAGATATAAGCATTAATAACATTGGAACGGTTTGTAGAATGTATTTTTAATAAAAAAAAAATCTTTCATTTAAAACTACCGACTACTAGTTACTATTTTAAGGTCAGATTTACATGGTTTGTACCGGATTTCTTTTAGCCCAGTGACAACGCCTTATCAAACGCAATTTGTTTGAGTTACCTAGTTGACATTAACTTAAAGAGATCCGGTATGGGATCTATGGCTATGGCAATTGCTGAATCAGCAGCAGCAGCTCAAAGATTGCGGAGGGAGGCAGAAAAAGGAATCCGTTTTAGGCGAAGTGCTGGACGACTAGTTCAGGCTCGGAGAGTTGTTAAAGGAATGAATATTGGTAATAGATTCGATGTCTTATCACTCTAAATATTTTAAAATTTAGTATTTTTCTAAGTTCTGATTTTTCCATTACTTTCATTTAGGTAATACTAAAGTATACGTTAAATTTTTATTGATTCCTGTTTTGTATTATTGTTGAGTTTAATTTATCAAAAAAGTTCTGCTTATATATGTTATTACAAAAATAGATGCTGATCCATTGCTACTAGCTCAACAGTTGTCTGCTCGGCCCTCTATAGTATCCGTTGCTTCTGAAGAGGGAGTCTTTAATATTCAAACTCAACCTCTTTCAACAGACTTCAGTTTTGTACCTTCGCAAAAAGTAAGATATTTTAAATATTATCATACTACCATAATTTTTGTCTCCAATTGTATTACACTAAATTATTAATTTTTTTTAGAGTCCTCGACGATCATCGCGTGAATCATCAATTACTGGTTTATCGACATCAAGGAGATCTAGTCATCACACTATATTTGAACCGGCACAAGTAATGCAAAATACATTTAAAACTTAGATCAGTTTTCTCCTTTATAAGAAAACACTAATAAAAACACTTTATCTTTTAAGGAAGTTCTTCGGGCAACTTTGGTGCGTCGAAAATCTGATGGCTCTCTTTTACAACCAAGGGCAGAACATTCTGAACGTCATATTAAAATTTTTGTATCAAATGAAAGTAATGAAGGTTTTTAATGTAATGGAATGATTTTTTTTAAATAAATGATCTAAACTAAATTCCTCTATTCTATTTAAAACCTTATCATTATGGGGAACATAGAAGAATATAGCAACACATAACTTTACGTCAATAAATAAAACAAAATTTTAATTAAATTATACTTATATAGTTCTCTGTAGTATTTATAGTCATTATTGAACTTAAATAACAATTATTAACGATCACTTCTTTCATCTCGATCGACTGTAATTACCTGTTTTACATCATTTATTAATGTATTATCATTTCATTTAAAATGTCATTATCTTGCTAATTAACTTTTTGTAATTTTTATGTCATTTGATAATTACCTAATTAATTTACTTTTATCCATAGGAGACTAAGGTCTTTATAATCATATGTATAATACATGACAGCATTTCATTTTAAAGTTGTTAGCCACAAGGCACTGGCCGTCAAACTTGAAACTAGTTTATCTGTCAGTTTACTACCGTCTGTCACGCAGTTGTTTCGTCTCTGTTATCTGTGGTATGTTCAGTCAGCCATGTTTAGTGTTTGAAATGGTGGTGCCTCTAAATCTTTGGTGATTAAAAAAATATATAAGTGGATATATTATTGTTATTCTATTACTAACAACAGTGCCTGTGAGTTTTCAATGCATTTTGTGAAAAGTGAGTGATATACTGCTGTAAAAATGAATTGGGGTATCGAGCTTTGGGTAAGTCTGGCTACATTCTGTAACTTAACAACTGAATTAGTCAGTTCGTAAGTTTTATAATTTTCAATCATCATCGCTCCAACGGTTTCTATTTAAATAAAATATAAAAAAGTTACATAGTAGACGATTTGTTATTCAGATTTTTCTCACTACATTTCTACATTCCAAAACATAGTCGATAGAAAGTGGTATTTTCTTTACGACTACATACTCATAAGTTGTAAATGTTGTATATCTCGATGCACATTCTTCTTATTTCTTACACGTCTCTATATTCAAATAATTATATAATTTATGCAACCGAATACATGGTACTGATTTTATAAAAATATAGATTTAATGAATTAATTTTACAAATATACTATTAATTATAGTATATTTGCAACAATTTAGTATTTCATTTAGTTGAAAATAACGACTTTTTTACCGTTTGATTCAGTATTCATATTATGAATTCAAACTTTTATTTTTGCCCAAAATATTTGGTTAAGTAATTTTTTGTTTGTTATAATATAAAGAAAATAATAAAGAAAACAAATTGGTGATGAGTGGTGTATTTAGATATGAAAATTATATTCTAACAAAAGAGATTTAAAAGTATTCTGTAATTTCTGTCTATATTTTTTTTGTATATCAGCCTATAATTTTATATCGAGTCTAAAGTTGGTTGTTGTAATGATAGTGACAAATTTTATACATCTATATAAATATTGAATTTCATAGAGCTAATGGTTTTGGAGGTGACATACAAATGCATTTTAGAAATTTGTAGTAAAAATAGAGCATAGATTTTATACAATCAAAGCTACACCCAAAATAAAAAAAATAAATATTGTTAAAAAATAAATAAATGACTTACAGTGCAGAGTAAATTGTTTAATTTTGCATAATTATTTACACTGCTAAATATTAAAAACAAATACATATAGTATGTTACCGTTACATATCATGACTGAGACGGATATGCTTTTTATAATATTAAATTGGTACTTTCTCTAGCATATTACAGGTTTTGGTCAAAATATACATGTATATGCAGGTCATTTTAACAAAAAAAATATATGATGCATTTGAAAAAATGTTTAAAAAATTTTTATTTTTCAAAAAACATGTTCAGTTTTTTTAATTTGATGCTCTACTAATTTATATGAAAGTCTATTTACATTGTTCCAATTAAAGCTTGGCTTTGGAATTTGACAGTACCAGGTCATTGCCCCTCAAACAGATGAGCTGTTTATATAAAGCCAAACAGAATTTGAAGTGTTGCATTCACACTGTATGTAGACTGTGAGTGGTCAGTTGGCAAGATGCAAGGCCGATTGCTACGGCCGGTCCGCATTCCTCACTCTACTTACTAGAACAGTTGTGAAATGAGCCTATCTGTTACCTACATGCCGTTAAATACGTACAACATATTATTATCGCGTATGAAATATATAACAGTTATTTTTTTTTCTCAAGACGTGTCTCAGTACGTCGTTCACGTGCGGTTTAACAATCTATCCATGCTAAAGATGACGTAATGGTACGAGTGGTCCATTTGTTAATATAAGCACTATTATTGTACTCACAAGAGTGTTGACCTAACATCGTGTAGCAAATAATGTGATAACATTTATCCTTGTAGCTCTCGTTTCTCTAAAAATGTTTTGCTAACAATATAATTTAAAGCAGGTGTCACACAATCAAATTATCTTACGCCGTCCGTGAACTACATGGCCGAGTGTTTTGTAACAGCGACCTAAAAACTTGTTATAGTTTAACAGTCAGTTGTGATCTTAATACATTCAATGAATTTTGTCGATTGACATAGTCAAAAAAAGTTATCAATTAGGCCCGATTAAAAAAAAATTGTAATAAATTTCGCCTACTTATTACGCATACTGTTATGTATTGCTTGTTCTCTTTATGTAACTTTTATATAAAAAATATACATATTTTTATATCGTAATCCAAAAACAAGAATCAACAGCAACTCTTTATGACTCTTTAAAAGAGTAAATAAATAAAAACCCAAAAACATATCTCCATTTTTGAAGTTTTAAAGTAACGGTAAACAAAATAAATAAATATAGAATTTAAAAATTATTTAAAATTTCGTACTTTTTACATTGGCGTAAAGTTTATTTTGATAAAACATATGGCTTTAGAAAATATTTTGAACCTCGTTGCACTTGAAAACTCTCGTATTTACTGTAAAAAAATTATACGCTCGTATACATTTACATAAACAACTGAACCCTCCCTCTTTGTTCGTTTAAGTTGCAGCCTGATAAAATTAAAAAATCATGCGATTTCTAAAATTTTATTTGATTTTATATCTTACTATGGCTACTAATGAACAACGCAAACTTTTACTATACGGTCACCTACAATACCCTTGTTATGTATGTCTGTTAAAAAATCGGTCAATAAACAGTATATTTTTTTACATCGCTTCATAAGTCAAACCTCTTTGACGTTTCAGATAAAGAAACTCTTTTTTGTTGTGTATTGATATTATAAGGTGTTAAAATGTACATTATTGTCTTAAGTAATACAATAAGACGTTTTAATAGTGATTGAAAATACGCATTAGTCACGGTACAATCATAATGTGTTTGTTAATTAAATACAATACTTAAAAGATGTTGAAGTGCCGTTACTTCAAAAACTTTCTCAGTTTGTGTATATGTGCACTTCACTATTACGAGATTTTATGAGAAAACTGAATTATATGATTATACAATTTGAGAAAAATACCATAGAAAACATGTACACAAACGAGTATCTTCAGTCTCGTGAATTGATAAACTGTAAGAAAGTATATAAAAATGTCATTATCCTATTATTTGTTACGGAGAATTACATACGCATAAACACACTATAATTCATATATAAAAAGTTATAAGCATTTCGTTAGAAAGCTTCTATTTATTATCAAGTATATTTTGTTGATTTATGTTACGTACAGACATAGCAGTTTCAAAACTGACTATTTTCAAGTTGGTTTAAGATTATATAAATGATCAAGATATATTGCTCGTACAATACATTTAGTGAGCACGATCTATTAGATCTATCTAGAATCTAATACCACACGCGTCTGCGAATTGTGACACCAATAAAGTGGGTATGTTAATATAATATAGAACTTTTTTTGATCACAGCCATATGCCATGTCGTTATTCAGCCCACGTCGCGAAATAGTTTAGCGCTTTAAAAAAGCACGAAGCCCGTTATGGCTTTGTATTATATATAAAACAATGATGTCATTGTTTAAAAATATTTTATATTTATTCCTTATAAACAAAATTGTATCACGATTTTCATTTAAAATAAGCATTCTATGAACATAGAAACAATATCTCTGACCGCAAGAACCAGATCGATTTCTTAAACTAACAATTTATTAACTGTGTTGGTTTTTTGTGGGCATCACTTTTTGTTTACTGAAATTTGAAATCAATCCTTGAGTTTCTAAAAAATAGATTTTTATAAAAAAATGGGCGCAGTTAAAGTGTTCACTTAATTAGGTTATTATGTGAGATTGGATTACCTTAGGCGTGACCTGTGCCACGGCCATGTCGACAAATCAAATAGACTCCGCGCCCTAAGCTATAAAAACAAAGACCTAAAATTTGTTTAGGTCATGGGAAACTTATTTCTCTTTTAAATCAGTTCGTTATATAAACAAAAAGCGCTTTTTTGATCGCCTTGTCTTAAGGTATTGTCTGAAATAGTTTTAAATATAATTGGAATATTTTTTAAAGCTTTGATTGTGAGGTCCCTTTTAAATGTTTTGAATATTTTTCGAGTGTTGGCGTTTATCCAACACGAGGTGGTATTATTTGCAATACGAGCGAGCAACACATTTGGCGAGTGGCAGGTCCATTCGCGGACTCCAGCGAGTAACCGGTTTGACCAGAATACACAGGGCAGTACAAAATAAGATGGCGTCGGATATATAATAAAAACAGGCGATACTGACTCGACATATCATTGATATAAGGTTGCAAGTTATGTTATATTTTATAAAGCTTAAACATTAACAAGGCGTATGGTTGGGTTATTTTCGAGAATCCCTAAACGCTTGTTTAAACCGAGCTGCTCGCCGTCCGCCACCGTCCTACACCATCCT